AAAAAGAGGGAGAAGAGGAGGCGGTTCAATCACTGGTGGTCCAGTGGGTGCAGCAAGTACCGCCTAGTAGTAGTACTGTAGTAAAAGTACCTACTGGCTAGTAGTGGTGGACAGTGGGCAGTGGAAGTAACTGATCTCTTGTTGGTCAGACGGCACTGAACTGGGGCCGGCGGGAAGACAGGGGAGGGAAGAGGAAAGGAGGAGACAAGGTAATCATATAGTTAATCAATCAATCAATCAACGTGATATGATATGAAGGAAAGAAAGAATTTCTTATTTCAAGAAGAAAGACAAAGAGGTGAACAACAAAGCAGTTATCAATGGTGAAAAAAAAAAAAAAAAAAAAACCTCCCGATCCCTGAATCTCGGTTGTCCCTCCGTCCTTTGGATGAGCCAAACTGGATCTCGTGCGATCAGCGCGACAGCCCTAAATTGGGATCTTCTACGCAGTCACTGGGTTCAATCGGTTCAGTGTCAATAGAACATATATCTATCGTTCAATGCGACACATAGTCTGTGTCGACCCAGCGCAGAAGAGGACGAGAGAGGAGAACAGGGAAGAGGGAAGAGGGACGAGAACGAACAAGAAGGGAAGAAGAAAAGGAGGAGACCAAAACCGGGCAAGAAGCTAACTGAATGATTGATTGCATGATTGAATGAAACTGGAATGCCGGAAAGAGATGGCCACCATGCGAGTCAGATGGCAAGATCGACTCCCAGTGGGGCGAGTGGAATGTATAGTAGCCGGTCTATTGTGTGTTGTTGTGTGTGTTAAAGTACACCGGGCGCAGAGGAAGCAGGGAGGAAGACGGTGGTGGATGAAGAACAATAAGAACCATCGTGCCATCTGAACGACTTTTCCCCTCCTCCATCCCGTCTCGCGAGACCCATGGAACTACTTCGTACACTTTCCTGAGGAATAATGGTTGATTACTACTTCTTGCATGGCCCAGTCAGAGAGAAGCTATTTGCAGGCCATTCTCTTGCCGACTCGGAGGATTTGCTCGTGGACACATTCATGAATACCTGGGTTTCTGCACATCCACTGGGAGATCCACCGATCCAGTTCTCAGAGGTTGCCCAACGGGGGGATGTCCATAGATTACCTCTCAATCCCAAACCCATGAACCCGAAAGCACTTCTTGGTTCTGACCGCTGCAGCTAGCTCCATTCCTCCCCAGGACGAATGCGGATGAGCAGCCACAGACCCAACTACGAGCCATCAGTGGACGAGATGGAAGTGATAGACGTCTGATTACAGCATCTGCCCCAGAATCTCAGGCTGGATTAGTTTTGCGGGGAAAGGAACTGAGCGTCTGTCTGCTCTTTGCCTGTTCGTTCGCCTCTCGGTCCCGGTCACGGGCGCGGCCCTCCATGTGATGCAGCCATCGGCCGGGATTACCTCACGTGGAAGCGCAGCACACGCCTGTTCATTGGCGATCTTTCAAAGGTCGTGGGGGAGGACATCCTTCTGGCTGGTGCTCACAGGGAGACCTCTCTAGTGGGGGTGATCACCTTGCACAGCTTGCAGAGTGGACGCAACGTCAAAGAGAGATGATCAGAGGACTGTGCTTGATCCAGGTGCGACCCGTCATTCTCATTGATAAGACCTTTCATTCTGGCAGAATTAGCCTACTTACTAGTAACTTAGTAGTTAGTAGTAGTTATTAGTAGATATGTAATCATGCAATGCAAGACATCAATCGAACATATATGAGGGCGCGGCCCGCTGGGTTGGGAAGCAAGCATCTCGGCTGCAACCCCCTAAAACTGAATCGATATATATCTATCGTGGACAGGGGACCAGCGGGGTCATTCGCCATCAGTCTGGTGATCCAGTCGCAACTGTCTTTGGTATCCTTTGAAATAGGTTTCACCGCAACTCAAACTGACCGCGAAGAATGTCAACCCAACCCCCGTGGCGCAATTGATCCTGGGTACTTAATGACCATGGAGGGAATCATTAGCTTCCGAGGTGGAACCGGGGCAAAGCTGCTCCCATGATAATGCGTATCGGTGAAGGGCTGGGAGAATTCGGTTGGTTGGGTTGAAGGAAGAGGTAGAGATTTCCACTAGTTAGTTGTCTCTTAGTTAGTAGTGAACCATCGCAGTCAGTAATTATGAATTCAGTGAGGTTGGGTTGGGAATGTGTGATTAGAATTGAGTTGCGATTGAAAGGTCAATCAATTAACATCGGTAAGAAGCGGTGGGGAAGAAGAGATGAGGATGACGGATAACTAAACAAGATAAACAAGATACGTAATTCAGCCCAGTCCCGGGAGAAAGCTATAACTAAGTTAGATTTGACGGAGTACACATGCGATGCATGATTCTGAGTTTTCTGGAGATACTGTAGATAGACAATGAGTAGCAAGGGAACCAGAAAAGAAAGCAGTCATGGTAATCAAGTTTAGACTACATGTAAAGGATCTCCGACCGGTGGAGAAGGGAAGCTCTCTCGGGCTGACAGATGATGCTTGCTTTCTAACTAAGTACCTATGAGTAGGTAGGTAGGTACTGTACTCCGTACACTGCAGCATACACCAAGTACTTTCCTACTAGCTGCTTCGCTATTACTACTGCAGTACTGCTATTGCTGCTGCTGCTGCTGCTAACTTATTAGCTACTACTGCTACTGTCAGTAACTACAGGTACTAACAACTAGTCTTAACTACCCGCTACTGCGACCTGCCGTCCTCCTTCTTCTCCTTCTCTAGATCTTCCCTCCGCTCTCTCCTCTTCTCTTTCCTTCATCTCACCCAAACAACCTTCTTCCCTCCTCCCCTCCCTCTTCCCCCCCCTTCCCATCTTCTCCCCCCCGTCCCCTTCCTCTTGCTATTTACATTGATCATCCGATCTTTTCTCTTCTTTTTATCCCATCGATTCCCTTTCCCATGTTGGCGTGAAGTGACCGCTGCATTGATAGGAAATTTATCGGGACAAGGGACAAAGAACCTCGGACCCTCTCTCGTTTGCTCCCCTTCATTATCGGACCCCATCCGCGCTTCCCTGTCTGGAGAAGTGCCAGCCAGCTAGCCGATTCATCTATCCATCCATCCATCCATCCTTCCATCCTGCCATCTCGCAATCTCCCAGCTGCTACTTGTATCAGCAAAACCTCCCTCCCCCGGCCCCTTCTTCGTTCTATCGCCCATTCGATCTTTCCTCCACCTGCATCTATCCCATAGCCATACACCGCCTTGTGCTGGATGCAATAGCGAAAGTAGCAAGGAAGCAAGAATAGCTCCAAACCAGTGATACTCCTCAATCCACGGTCGCACTCGCGCGTCCTGTCGCCATTCGTCGTCCCTGAAGTCATTGCTTGCGGGGCCTTGCTCTGGTCCTGCGGGCCTCTACTACCGAAGATATGAGTGGAATCACAAATGCTTGTCTGTCCTGCTTATCGACGGTAGACCGTTGGTGCCACATCTCAGCGTGCCTCGGTCCGATCAGCGGTCGCTCTAGGGATGGGATTTACGAATCGACCTTGGCAGATAATGAGCGCGAAGCAGTCTCCGACTTGCTGCAATTCCTTGACGCGGTAAGTCCGTCCTCTCGCCCTGAGCCTTGCGTCGGCGTTGGGCTTGAGGTCAGCGCTGTGGTCCCGTGTCTAGAACAATACTCACAAACCGTCACAGCAACAACGTCAAGAGGTGGATTTCTTTCACGGCGAGCCTCTCCGAGCTTTGAGCACTCTGGTATATTCCGATAATGTTGAACTCCAGCGAAGTGCTAGTTTGACCTTTGCCGAGGTCACGGAGCGAGGTACGTACAACGCGGACAACATCATTCACTCCAGTGGCTGACCTGATGGCTACGCGATCATAGACGTACGCGAAGTCGACCGAGACACCCTTGAGCCTATCCTTTTCTTGCTGCAGAGCTCCGATATCGAGGTGCAACGGGCGGCCAGTGCCGCGCTCGGGAATCTGGCTGTCAATGGTACGGTTTCCGTCCTACTCTACAATCACGTTTGCTGACTGGTTCTCAGCGGAGAACAAGGTGTCGATTGTCGCACTGGGGGGCCTGGCTCCTCTAATACGGCAGATGATGTCGCCTAATGTCGAAGTGCAATGTAACGCGGTGGGTTGCATCACGAACCTGGCTACCCACGAGGACAACAAGGCGAAAATCGCCCGCTCCGGCGCTCTGGGCCCATTGATCCGGCTGGCAAAATCGAAGGACATGCGAGTACAGCGTAATGCGACTGGTGCGCTGCTTAATATGACGCACTCGGGTCAGACACCTCACAACAATAGCAATAGCGCAACTTCGCTGACAGATTGCGCAGATGACAACCGACAACAACTCGTGAACGCGGGCGCCATTCCTGTTCTGGTCCAATTGCTATCGTCTTCCGATGTGGATGTACAATACTACTGCACTACCGCGCTGAGCAATATCGCTGTCGATTCGTCGAACCGCAAGCGTCTAGCCCAAACCGAGTCTCGATTGGTTCAGTCACTTGTGCATCTCATGGATTCCTCGACCCCGAAGGTACAATGCCAGGCTGCTCTGGCCCTGCGCAATCTGGCCTCCGATGAGAAATACCAATTGGAGATTGTGCGCGCGAAGGGACTGCCACCACTCTTGCGACTCCTGCAATCCTCTTACCTGCCCCTGATTCTTTCCGCCGTCGCATGCATTCGCAACATCTCGATACACCCCCTCAATGAATCTCCTATCATTGACGCAGGATTTCTCAAGCCTTTGGTCGACCTGCTCGGGTCGACCGACAACGAGGAGATTCAGTGTCACGCCATCTCCACCCTGCGGAACTTGGCGGCCAGCTCTGACCGTAACAAGGAACTTGTCCTCCAGGCGGGGGCGGTTCAGAAGTGCAAGGACTTGGTTCTTCGGGTTCCGCTTAGCGTTCAATCGGAAATGACGGCTGCGATCGCTGTGCTGGCTCTCAGCGACGAGTTGAAACCTCACCTCCTCAACCTCGGCGTCTTCGATGTTTTGATTCCTCTCACCGAGTCGGAGAGTATCGAAGTGCAGGGAAACAGTGCCGCAGCGCTAGGTAATCTTTCTTCCAAAGGTATGTTCCCGCTCGTATTGAGGCCCGGCAGACAGCGCGTTCAGGAACTGACTTGAAGTAGTGGGAGACTATTCGATTTTTGTCCGCGACTGGGCGGATCCCAACGGTGGCATCCACGGCTATCTCAGCCGCTTCCTAGCCAGCGGGGACCCGACCTTCCAACATATTGCTATTTGGACATTGCTCCAGCTTCTCGAGTCCGACGACCAAAGGTTGATCGGATACATTGCGAAGTCGGATGACATTGTGCAGATGGTCAAGTCGATCTCCGATAAGAGCATAGAATCAGACGAGGAGGATGGAGATGAGGGCGAAGGCGAGGTCATTGCGCTGGCACGGCGATGCCTCGGGTTCCTGGGCAGTGGTCACAAGCAGACCCTTGTAGAAGGCTAATCTAATTTCTTTTCTTTTGCGCGCTGATGCCGGGTTTCAAGGTTTCTTCTTCCATGTTATAAATCCCGATAATCATTCGATTCTTCCCCTGCCTTCTGTCTTACAGCTTTCGAGTGACGTTTCTATCGCACTACACCTTGCCCTTATGTGGATGTTTTGCTACAATGACCTAAATCTGTCAGGGGTTTTAAAGCGAGCATATGATTCGGTGTCACGTTTTTTCTTCATGTCAGCGAGCATTAGGTGTGATGAACTTGTTTGCTTTGGTTGATGGGGTTGCTCAGAGGGCGTGGTATCTGCGACTCTCGCTGTAATTATCATGTATGTAACTAGGAGCAGGAGTCTACTGACAATGTGCATGATTTACATTGACTACTAGTAGTACTGTGTAACGGAGTATGTAATTCACTCAATGATGTCATGGGCCCAGTGTCTGTTATGGGGTTAGTCTGCTGCCCGGAACAAGAGTTTCTCCGTCCATACTGAAAAAGTAACTCGAACTCCACGCCTGGCCTGCCGATAGACAACTTGCCAGCTTCTTTCTTTCGTGTCCTTTGCGCTCTCTCCCTCCACAATTGCAATGGCCAGTGCACTGCCGACTCTGGCCATCCCAGGCCAGCGCTTGGGTCCTGTGAGCTCTTATGCCTCAGGGCCGGGCACCCATGTGCAAAATGCCAACATCTACGCCTCCATTGCCGGACCCGTGCTCGTGGACCCCGCCAGCTCCAAGGCCGGCAAGTCCACTTTGAGCGTCTCTCGCAGCCCCCTCCGCAAAGCAGGCAACGCTGCTCCAGTCCCTCCATCCACCCCGAAGGCCACCGCCCCCAGCACCTCCAAACCCCGGTACAACACGCTCCCGGCCGTGGACTCGATCGTGCTTGCTCGCGTGACGCGTGTGCAGAAACGCCAGGCCACCGTCTCCATTCTCGTGGTTCTCGACGAGACGGCCAATCAGGCCCCAGCGTCCACCGCGTCCGCCTCAGACAACGACAACATCGAGTCGATCCTCACCTCCGCCGCCAACCCGGAGAACCACAGCAACACGGACGAGCTTCGGTTCCAGGCGCTGATCCGCAAGGAAGACGTCCGGGCCGTCGAGAAGGACCGCGTGGTCATGGATGAGATGTTCCGGGTGGGGGATATCGTGCGCGGCACGGTGATCTCGCTGGGCGATCAGAGCTTCTACTATCTCACAACGGCGCGGAATGATCTGGGCGTGGTGATGGCGCGCAGCGAGGCGGGGAATATGATGTTCCCGGTCAGTTGGAAGGAGATGAGAGATCCGGTGACCGGCGCGGCGGAGCTGCGGAAGGTTGCGCGGCCGTTTTGAGGGGTCTTGTCGACGAAATGGTGTCGGCTTATGATGACAATGATTCGATGATGACGATGCGGCCTAGGAGGGGGATTTTAGGTCATATGGACGAGGATGGTGAACGCTTTGGCCTGCCGTACCTTGAGCTGCAGGTTGAATCAAGGTCTGCCTGTTTCGGAACGGAGCGTGATAGTGCCTCGGGTTCTATTCCTCCGGAGGACGAGGCTCGGTTATCCGCTGCAGTATGGCGGCTGTGGGTCTCAACTGAGCGGAATGCCTGCGACTGGGATATCTCTTGGGTTGAATGAGCATGGCTGGCAGGTTGTGTGACTTGCACAGATGTTGCAGACGCGCGGTTCACCTACGATCGTGCATTCTGCCCTCTTCTCACCCCCGGCTGGTTTGGGGATTTTCGTCTGGACGGAGCATAACCAGAGCATAACGCAGTTTGCCGGTCTCAGGCAGGCATATCGCAGAACCTCAGCTGGTACATCAGACTGCTGTCTGAAGGACTTGATGTTTGTCGCTGAGCTTATGCGGCGAATAAGAGGATCCATCCATACATCGGTAGTACATGTACATATGGCAGTGCGCCTTGCACCAAGCTTTTCCCACTGTGGGAATCGCGCCCATCTTGTGGTTTCTAGAATCTGGCAATAGAGCTCATCTAGAGCAAAGCGTTTCCGGGTTTATGCATTAGCCACTCTCTGTTTGAGGGTCCAATCAATCTTCATATTATTCTTCGGCGTAGTTGTCGTATATTCATGCTTTGCACTTTGTATATTGGGCCCGAGAGCGGTTCAGCCTCGTAATTCCTCTGGCATGATCACTACTAGGATCTCTTGAAATCACGAGACACGCCCGTTCACCAATATATATCATACTAAATACAATGTAGTAGTCGTGTCAAAACCCGAAGCCAGAGTGAGCGATATTGACCCTCGCGGCGCTCAACTGCAATACCAAGTCTACGATATCAAAGCTTTCATAATTGTGACAAGGGTTATACTTCACTTCCAAAGTCCAAGCATGTAGACAGCCAACTTGAAGCAAAAGAACAAGCAAGTCCGTGTCCACCGCCCACTCACACAGAACAGCCAAATACGACCCTTGATTCAATTGAAACCAGACCAAACAAGAATATGTAGTACATATGAAATATAGATATCAACAAAATCACCGAGTAGCATTAAGTAACTCTACAAAGTAAGCTACCCTACCCACAGTATACAGAAAACCACAAACCCAAACCCAAACCCAAACCCCCCCTTTCCTCCCACCGACTTACTTCTTCAAAGTCTTCTGCTTCTCCGCATCAATCAACTTCCGCCCCTGAACCACCAACCCCTTCCGCCGCCGCACCGCATCCATGTACCGCTTCGCCACATTCTCGCGGTCTGCCAACTCGCCCAGATCCTCGAGTTCTTCTTCCGTGGCCGGCACCCAGAACGGATCCTCGTCGAGCGCCTCATACCCGGCGAAGATCAGCTGCGGCTGCGCGGCGCCAGACGTGCGCTTCCGGATCTCATCCGCAAACCCGAACGACTCCGCTACTGGCAGCAGCGCTAGGATAGTGAAGAACGGGGTGCCTTCTTTCATCGTTTCGGAGAGAATGCGGCCGCGTCGGCGGGTGATGACCGCGTAAACGCGGCCGAGGACTTCGGCTGTTTTGTTGTTAGCTTTTCGGTTCCTGGTTTGGTGTGGGGGGCACTTCGGGAGGGGGATTCAGAGGGGGCCGTACTCGACGCTTGAATCTCACAACTGTACATTGCAAGCATAATCCGGGGACTCCAATCCAGAAATCCCTGGGAGATACTTTCGCGCACCAGCCGGATGGCTTCGCCCGTCAGCCGGCCCAGATCAATGTCTTCGCCATTCGTAGAGTTGACGGAGAGCTCCTCCAGGAAGACGGCGACGCCTTGCATCGGTTCCTGGCAGAGAGGGCCTTGGCCCGTGGCTAGTTGGAAGGCGTAGGCAATCTTGTCGTTGAAGTCGCGGACGACGAGGGCTTCGCGAGAGCTACTGGTGTTGCTGTCGGTGTTGATGGTGGGTTGTTGTTTGGGGTCATCGAGGAGGCTTTTGTTGTGAATTGCGGATGTCAGTGAGGGGGTTGGGGAAGAGGGATCTAGGGGAAAAATGGCTGACTTACAACTTCTCGCAGGTGTTGACGGCGGTAGCATCCACCAGGATGTTGGGGCCGACGCGTCTGGGCCCAAAGGCCGTGATCCGGTCGACCACGTTCTTCCACAGCTCCTTGTCCTCCTTGACCTCTTCGTCGAAGATCTTGGTCAGCTCCGCGCGGAAGTCCTGCAGCGAGAGGAGGGTCGTCTCGCGGGCTTCCTCCGTGGTGGCTTCGCGGGCGTCCACGGGCTGGGTGCTCTCGGCCGCGGGCTCGGTGTCGGTGCCACTGTTTCCGGACTTGTTCTCCGCGGCTCGTCGCTTCTCGGTTTGCAGTCGCTTGATGGTTCCGACGTGCTTGGAGAAGAACTCCGTGACGACGGCGGGCAGGGGCACCACACGCAGGCGCATGGTGAGTTGCTTCGAGGGAGAGACAGCCAGGATGCCACCGCGGCCGAGCTCCGGGTTCTTGGGCGCAGCCATCTCCGGGGCGCTCGTGATCGTCTCGCGGTAGGGCACGATGGTCTGACCGGTCTGGATGTCGCATTTGGCGAATCGCTCGCGGAGGTCCTTCAGACAACGCTCCAGGTGCAGTTCGCCGGCCGTCAGGATCACATGTTCACCACTGTCGAGGACCTCGTACTGTGCGCAAGGGTCGCTCTGCTCCAGCAGGCGCAGACCGGTCACCATCTTGCTCAGGTCGGCGGGGTTGACGGGCTCTAGGGCCACCCGGACGATGGGAGGCGTGTTCAGCGAAACACCCGCCAGGTTGATGCTTCCCTCCAGCTGCGAGCAAAGCGTTCCCGTCTTCAGGACATGGCCGGCGAGACCCCCGATACCGAACACGACACCCGCAGGCACGGACTGCAGGGGCTCCAAACTCCGGCCCATCAGTAGATACAGATCGGTGACCGTGACCTTCTGCGGCTCGGGACTGGCGTGGGGGTTCTCGGGGTTGAACTTGGGCGCGATCACATACACGGAGTCTCCCACGGAGAGCGTGCCCGAGTATAGTCGGGCGAACCCAATCAGATGCTCGGGGTCTTCTTTCTCCTCAGGTTCGGCCGGCCCATCGTCGAGGTAGGTCCGTTCAAGGGCGGATGTTACGCGCGCGAAATCATCCTGCTGCTGGCCGCCCGCTTCTGCCTGCATCTTGGCGATTTCCTCTCGCTTCTTGCGGGCGATCTCCCGCGCTTCATCTGCGGACATGGTGGTGCCAGAGCGCTTCTTGCTTGACGAGAGTTCGCTCTCCGGGATGGCGACCATCTTGCTGACGTAGGCCACGACTGGCTCGTTCGGCTCCGTCTTGAAGCTGACCATTGCGTCTTTGACCTTCTGGTCGACGAAGTCGGCTCCGGGAGAGTCGGCGATCAGAGCCGGTAGACGGGTTGCTTGAGCGGTGGGTGGACTGGGAAGGTATTCAATGACAGAGACTAGCACAGCGGTTGAGAGCGGCAGCCACATTGAGAACAAGGTGGTCATGATGTTCTTGGGATCGCGGGAACGTAGAATGTAGGGAGGGATATTGATGTTCAAGGACTTGGTGATTTTCTCCAGCAGGGCGGGGTCTCTGTCGAGAGTCAGTCCGATAATAGTATACGCAGATTTAATTTCCATACCCTCTTCCTGAACCGCCTCCGGTTGTCGCTTCGTAGGCAGCCCAGATACTGTCCAGCACAAGCTGCACGAACATAGGCTTCAGAGCCCGGCCCTTCAGATGCTTCTGCCCCAGGACACGCTTCGTCTTGGGATCCAGATAGTAGTCGCCCCAGAGGACCTTCTCGAGGATCGCACGCTTGATGCCGAGCTTCTTCTCGTAGATGACAGCAAACTGACGCACCGTGAAAGCCCAGCCGTCGACGGCACTGCAGAAGATGACGTTGTTCTTCTCCGGCGCAAAGTACAGATCCTCGTCGTCCTTCTCCTCATACTCGGCCGTCTGCTCGTCGTCTTGATCCTGCTTCTTGTTCAGGCGCTCCTCCATGCGCTCCCGCCACTGCAGGTCCTCTTCCATGCGCTCCCCCTGGTAGAAACTCCCGATGACCGCGTTGACCTGCTCGAGCAGCTTACTCATGTGCAGATACGCCTCGCCGGGACTCATCTTCAGCTCTGTCACCAACCGGTCGATCTTGTTGATGACCAGGATCGGCTTCAGCTGCTCCACCCAGGCCTGCCGCAGCACGGTGACCGTCTGACTGCAGACGCCTTCGACGGCGTCGACGAGCACGACGGCGCCATCGCACAGACGCGACGCCGTCGACACCTCGCTGCTGAAGTCGATATGGCCCGGCGAGTCGATCAGGTTGATCAGATACTCCTTGGGCTCCGGGGCGGCGTCGGGCGCCGGCCGCCGCATCATGGAGAAGAACAGCGAGATGGCCGACGACTCCATCGTGATGCCGCGCAGCTGCTCGTCCGGCCGCGAGTCCAGGTAGCGGATCTTGCCCGCCAGCTTGGGCGAAATGATACCATTGGTGGCGATCAGACTATCCGTTAAGGATGTTTTGCCGTGATCCTGAATGGCATCATCTGGTGAGTTTGGGGACCTTTTTTTTTGGTGGTTGAATGGTTAGATTGGCTTGGGGTTGCTACGTACAACGTGAGCGAGAATGCAGATCTAAGGGAATTTCGTTAGTGGTGGTCTCGCGACGAAAGGGAAAATAGTCCGACGTCACGGCGTATGGAAAGTGGGATGATGGAGGGGTAAAAATCGACTTACATTGCGGATGTCGTCGGGCTTCCGTTGCAGACGAACGAGGTCGTCTACATTGACCACAGGCATTTTGAAGACAGATTGATTGCCGTCACACAGCTCCCAGCTCCCACAGGTCGACAAAGTTGAGGTTCGACTGAATGAACGGCAGCGGTGGGTTTTTGGGGATCCGGCGATGCTGCGGAGATTCCAGGAAAAAATTATCTCGGGATGCTTTTGTCCTGCGCCTCACGCAAACGCCCTCCTTGTACCCTGCAAAGTGGTGAAGGAATTACGATCCGAACAATTTAGTGGTTGGTATGATGCTGAAGCTATTTTTTTCAATGCTTTCACCAACTTTGGGCTGGTGATATCACTGCCCTTAATTGATTGATTATTAATGGCTCCGGCCTTTCAGGGTTGCTGGATTGCGCCTGTCAATAGAGGCAAGTATGCTACAACAATAATTGCATATTATAGACTACTTTAAAAGCATATGGGGTATCATGCATTGGTCCAGGTTCGTGACTCGACATTCATCATCATGAGTCATCATCGTCGAAAGAGAGCTTGATCTTCTTCTGTTTTGCTTTCCGCACGCCCGAGTCCTTCTTTTTGGTATTCGTCTTCTCTTCACTTTCTGCTGCTGGAGCATCTTCCCCGATGACCTTGGCCTGTTTCCTCTTCCGTGGTCCGCCTATTTCGGCGATGTTCTGCTTGGAGACCGACGCCTCGGCCTCGCCCTCAGCGCCTGATTTACTACCCTCCCCAGCGGGCTCTGCAAACTTGTCCTGGTCCTTCTCGGGGTGATCGCCATCTTCAGTGGATTTATTCCCCCGCACTAAAGCTTCATATTCTTCTTTAGAGATGATGTCGTTGCTCTCTTCGTCGACGTAGGTCGGCCCGTCGTCGTCGTGCTCTTCGCGCGGCTTCCGGGCCCGAGCAACTGGTCTCTCTAGACGACCCGAGTTGTCTCCATACTGGTTCCTGAGTCTCTGTAGAAAAGCCGGCTCTTTGGCCTCTGCGACATGTTATTCCTAGTCCTCCACAGAGCTGGATTGATACGTACCGTAGGCGAGATTTTTTGACTTGAATGACATGGTTATGGCCAATTGAGAATTTAACTGTTAGCTATATACTTATATGTGAGTGAGTACATTCAAGCAGTTATCGTAACAGCTCCAGAAGCCGCTGCAAGCAGCGCTTCACAGTTAATGGAGTGGGGACCCTCTAGTGTCCCTGCTATGACGTGGGACGCCACGCTATCACTCAGCAATACTGGAAAGTCTTTCCGTAGATGTAGACTGTGGCAGAGGGTCAAGCTATCCAGACAGTCAGAGGGACGTCGTATGTTCCAAACGGGAAAAGTATTCTAACCCGTCAGTCAAGATTGGAAAAGAGAGGAGCGTGGAAGATAACTTGAACCAACTCAACCGCCAAGCAATCCTCAGCGATCAGGCTTGCGGTGCGGCTAATCCTGATCGGGCGAGGTCGAAAAGTCCCGGCCAAAGGAGCCGCAAGCTGCATCTTCAACCAACCACCTCCCCATCCACCATCACATTCACATAAACATGCTGTGCGCAAGTGAGTTGAGCCATTAAAATGTCCCTAGAGCTTCGTCGCTGACAAAACCTTGGTAATAGTCTCAGGAGAGGCACCACAAGTGCCCGTCGTCTCGCCTAAGAGCGGTATGTTGCAACCTCTCACTCGCATGCGCATCAATGCGACCCGACCTACACGTATCTGACATTCTAGCAGGCAGTGTCTTCGAGAAGCGGCTTATTGAGGCATACATCGCAGAGAACGGAAAGGATCCCGTGAACGGGGAGGAGCTTGCCGCAGACGAGCTGATCGAGGTCAAATCCCAGCGCGTCGTTCGGCCCAGACCTCCCACCCTGACCTCGATTCCCTCGTTGCTCAGCGTCTTCCAGGAGGAGTGGGACGCTCTGGCTCTCGAGACCTACACGCTACGACAGACTTTGGCACAGACCCGGCAGGAATTGAGCGCGGCGCTCTACCAGCACGATGCCGCCGTTCGGGTGATTGCCCGGTTGACGAAAGAAAGGGACGAAGCCCGCGATGCACTGTCGAAGGTTACTGTCAGTGCCAAGGGCGATGGTGAGGCTATGCAGGTCGATGCGACCGGTCTGCCTGAGGCGGTTCTCGCTCGCGTGGAAAGTACACAGGCTGCGTGAGTCTCCCAGGCCGTGCGAACGATTAGTCGAATCTCGCTGCTGACTCGCAAACAGACTCTCCAAAACCCGTCGCAAGCGTCCTATCCCCGAGGGCTGGGCTACGAGTGAGAATATCTCCGCCTTCAAGCCTACACAAACCTCCGAGACCCTTCAGTCCGGCGCGAGGACATTGTCTGTCAACTCGTCTGGAGAATTGGCTATCGTTGGCGGCGCAGAGGGCACGGCCAGCGTATATTCCGTCTCCCAGAAACAGCTCGCTCAGACTCTTCAAGCAAGCGGGCCCGTCACCAGTGCTGCATGGGCTGGTGACAAAGCCATCATTGCCTCGTCTACGGGTTCTGTCAAGGTGTTCGAGAATGGAAACGAAGTGGCAAGCTTCAGCTCTCACGCGGGAGCAGCGACGGCCGTGGCCGTGCATGCTACTGGCGACATTGTGGCTTCCGTCGGTGCTGACAAGAGCTACGTGCTGTATGACCTGACGACGAACGCCGTCATCACCCAGATCTTCAGCGATGCCTGTAAGCAGCCCCTTGGAAACCTCTTACCGTGTGAGCCCAGACTGACGCTTGCCTCCAATTCTAGCCCTTCTCTCCGTTCATTTCCACCCTGACGGGCACCTCCTTGCTGCTGGTGGTCAGGATGGCCAAATCAAGATTTTCGACGTCAAGACCGGTGCTGCTGCCGCCAGCTTCTCGATGTCCGCCCCTGTCAAGGATCTGTTCTTTTCCGAGAACGGCACTTTCTTGGCTGCCGTGGCTGAGAAATCCACAACCGTGTCTATTTGGGACCTCCGCAACGGTCAAGAAATTAAGGTGATCGAGACGGGCAGCCAGGTTGACTCGATCAACTGGGACTACACCGGACAATTCCTGCTCACGGCCGGACCCAGCGGATTGACGGTGAACCAATACTCCAAGGCGGCCAAGTCATGGACAGAGTCTCTGCGGAGCGCCGTACCCGCGGTGGCAGCGGTCTGGGGTTCCGCGGCTCAAAGCATTGTGGCGCTGAACACCGAGGGAGGTGTGACGGAACTCGCCGCAGAGTAATTCTGATTGATACCTGGTGAAACTGGACTGAAAATCAACAACAATGTTTGCCCTGTAATTCTAGCTGGTTCTGGTTTCAACTCGATCATTTGTGAACGGCGTCTCTACTTGGAATCTCTTCAATGTTTTTTTTTTTTTTCTTTTTCTTGGTGTTGTATTTCTTTGCCACCAAGCCAGACCACGATAGGGGATAAGTAGAGTTCAGAGATCCAGGATGCAAAAAAGAAGAAAGAAAAAGAAAGAGAAGTGTGTTGATGGTTAAATGAGCACGCATAGAAATTGAGTTGTTACACCACGAGTGTTGAAGAGCGTCACCGATTACATACTCCGGAGTAGTTAAAATGACTCTGGATTATTATTCACCACCAACTGCTCTGTTTGTTATGTCGAGAGCATGTCGGTGCCCAGTGGCCAAAAAGGGATAATAAAGAAAATGGATTACTGTTGAATAATGAAGTGCTTTTACTGTGTACTACTAAGCAGTCAACTAAACTGTGGCCCTCCACCCACCGGCGGCAATGAGGCCTAAACTCCGCTTCGGCTTGCCCGCCTTTCTTTGATAACCAATTCCTTTTCCAATCTTCCCCCTCTCCTCCCTTGCACTTCCCATTCCCCCTCTCTCCCCTCTTTGGGGCTCCACCTGCGATCTTCTTCTTTCAAAACCATATCCAACATGGATGACGACTCTGCTGTTCAATTTGTATCTTCCCGCGCAAGGAAGGTTGGTACTCGCCCTCTCCCCGCTTGTCCGTCCATTTCCCGCAAATCCTCCAAATCTCCCCTCAGGCGGGGTACACTTGTCTGAATTCCGAATGGACTTAATTGACTTACTGTCTAGCGACCACATCATGAGATTGCAAGAGCATCTCGATCACAATTACCTGGCGGCGAATCCTCATCCTCCCGAACGCTTCCTCAGCCCTCGCCACCCCACCGGCGGTATCCCGGAGATGGTCTTGACTTTCGTCGGCCTACAACATCGACACCACCTAGTATAGACGAGGTTATCGACTTGACCCTGGACTCAGACCCCCCAGAGCCTGATGCACCTCGCCATATTCCGATCGCTCGTCAAGATCAATTTACACAAACCTCACAAGCTAGAGCGCCGGAGGTGGTGGATTTGGAGGAAGAATATGAGGACTTGGCTCAGGATGACCCACCGAGTAGCCCGGAGGTACAATTCATCGGTGCCACTGCTCGACCTCCACGACCTCCGCCGCCCCCGACTTATCTCGATTTGCAAACAGACTGGTCAGGAGTGTTAAGCATACTCGCCAGGCCGCCCGGGTTGTTTCCCCGTGCAGTTCAAGCACTGCACCCATGGGATGCGGATGTATCGACTATCGGAGATCCGCTGGGCTACATTGATCTAACACATCATACTGGCGTGCGGCGGGCCCCTCAAAGACCACCGCCGAACGCATACAAGCCGCCTAGCCCACCCCCGGCTGGGTTCACTCGGACCCTCGAAGAGGATGACGTAGTGGTATGTCCTAACTGTGACGGGGAGTTGGGGGTGGGCGACGAGATCAGGCAGCAGATATGGGTAGCGAAGCACTGTGGACATGTACGCCTTTTCCTCATGCTTCGAAACTAGCCGGGCCCTTGCTAATTCTTACAGGTATACTGTGGCCATTGTGCTCACCACCGCTCCAAAACCAAGTCGAAGAAGTCCTCTACCTCGAAGCCGTTCTCTACATGTCAGGTGTCGGGATGTGGCAAACCTGTCAGCGCACCGAAAGCGATGCTTCAAATCTACCTATGATTCATAGGCCATCTTGATTTTGGAATACGGAGTCATGGGAACATGGTTGCATGACGCTGGCGTTAACGGCGGGGCTTTACATTCGCATATGGTTGCGACATATTAGGATACCCCATTTTCTGGCTTTGTTCATTCTTATCTTCCCTTCATCGTCTTGGTCGGAGAATCACGGCATCTCTTTTAATATGGGTCTTTGCATCTTGCTCTGGGTACCTCCTGCATTGGCCTTGCATTCACCCATGGATGATATTGTTCCGATTTGCTCAAATAGCGCTCTTCAATGCAGCAGATACACATGTAATAGTTTTCAAGCAATTTTGTACATATGATACATATCAAATAGAAGACAGAACCACGTTGGGGGCTCCGAAGCATAAAAGTGCTAGCCCATGATCAAAAATAAACCAAACAGAATTCCAAGTTGTAACACCTCTGCAGTAACCATATACCAATTTCCGTTTACACCGACTTGAAACCGCCGTGGTACGGGTCCCAGATACCTCTGACGCTCTCGTTGAGACTTGCGATGGGCTTTTTGGTGCGCTTCAACTTCTCGCCGCTGGCCGCCTTCAGCAGGTTCGCCTTGTTGAAGATCTGCTCGGGCTCCAGGTTGCGGACACAGATTGCCTTCTCGCGGCCATTCACGTAATGACCCTTGATGACGGGGTGCTTGTGCGGCCGGGGCGATACTCGGATCTCGATCTGGGGGTTTGCTTTGGCGAAGGAGGGGAGGTGGTGCTTCAGGAAGGACCTGTGTTGATGAAGACCGTCAGTCTTGTGTCTGTGTGTGCTTTCGGCACAGAGAGAGAGAACATACACCATCCCGCGAGAGCTACCAGCCCAGTCGCAGTAGTGGAAATCCAACCGCTTGCATTGTAGGATGAAGGCTCCGACGCCGTTCTATTGAAACAAGAGTGTGTGTTAGTCTGGATCCTCTGCTGAGTTCCTCCATTTTGCATTCTGACGCGAGTGAACATACTCTGGCGGAAGTCACCGTCCGGATCCCTTGCACAGTCATTGCTCTGACAATATTCTCTTTCGTCTCGTCTAAATCGGTTCGAACAACGATCGCCAGACACACTTCGTTGCGGTGGTCGGGGACTTTTCAGCGGCGCACCCGAAAATCAAGCCGCATCATTGGGCGGAGCGGCAAACTCGGCTACCGCGACTAGGCGGTTGGCGGAGCTCGGGAAAGGACGACGACGCGAGACTAACTCGAGAACAGCCAACACTTTATCGCCTCACAAGCTTCATCTCACCTGCTCCAGGTTGAGATTGAACAAAGAGACTCCATCCTTTATTTCATGACCCTATCGAGATCTTCGATGCTTCACAAACGAGTCTAGAGACTTCTCATCCTCCCGCTTCCGAAAAACCTCTTGTGACCTGAACGGGCGCAAAATGACGGACAAGCTGCCCCCTCCGCTGCTGGCGCTGTTCCAGCCTCGCCCGCCTCTTCGTTATGTCACCCCGATCGAACGGGCCCCCGAAGACTGCAAGAAGAGTTCCATCGGTGGAATCGCGCAGTTCCTGCCTGAGCTGAAGCAGTACGCAGAGGAGGTCCCATACAATGCCACTGAGAGCTGGATTCAGCGCAAGTTGCGCCAGAAGGTGGAGAAGAAGGAGAATATGGAAAAGCAGATTATAGAAGGACTTAAAGAATGTATGCACGTTCTTCCTTTACTTTTGGGTCAATTATGCAAGCCTTACTGATCGATACTCTTTTCCCACAGATGATCCGTCAACTGACCAACAGGCTCGCGGCGACCCGTTCAAGACCCTCTTTGTTGCCAGACTTAGCTATGATGTCAAGGAGTCGGACTTGGAGCGGGAGTTTGGCCGCTTTGGCCCTATTGAGCGAGTATGGCCATGGGAGAATTCCTGTTTGCAAGGGCTTGGACGTGCTAACTGGTCATCTTTAGATTCGTATCGTCAAGGACGCTGTCACGCCCAAGGGCTCGAAGAAGGCTCACAGAGGTTATGCTTTCATCGTGTATGAGCGCGAAAAGGACATGAAAGGTATTGCTACAGATCCAGTCGCCGATTTACCCTGGATGACTTCTTGTGGTATAATGATCTCCCATGCTACGTGATTGCTAACCTAGTGTTTTTCTTGACCAACTTCAGCGGCCTACAAGGAGACGGATGGCATCCGCATCAAAGACCGCCGGGTTTTGGTAGATGTAGAGCGTGGTCGGACTGTCAAGGGCTGGAAGCCCCGCCGTTTCGGTGGCGGCCTTGGAGGCCGCGGTTACACCAAGGCTCTGCCCTCCCGGCCCATTGGACCTGGATCTTTCAACGCTCCTTCAGGTCCTGGTGGCTTCGGTGGTGGTTTCCGAGGTGGCTTTGGTGGCAGAGGTGGTAGGGGAGGCTTCCGCAACGATCGTGGTTTCGGACCTCGCGGCGGTGTTGGGTACCAGGGAGGCCGCAACGGCTTTGGTGGACAGGCTCCTCCCAATGCTCCTTCAGGTCCCGGAGGTGGACGCAGTGGTGGCTTTGGTGGTCCCGGTGGTCCCGGTGGTCCCACTGGCCCCGGTGGTGGTGGCGGCGGCGGCAGGTTTGGACGTGAGGACCGAGGAGGTACTGGTAGCAACCGGGAGCCCATCAGACCTCGGGACGGCTTTGGTGATCGCGATCGCCGAGATCGGGATCGCGACCGCGAGGGTGGTGACCGCTACAGAGAGCGTGACAGGGACAGCCATCGCTATCGGGAGCGTGACCGTGACCGTGATCGCGAGCGTGATAGGTATGGAGGTCGTGGGGACGACTACGGACGCAAGAGATACCACGAGGACGACTCCTACGATGACCCCCGCGCCAAGAGAAGGTACTAAAGTCGATTCTACTTGAGGGGTTTCCCCATCCTAGTATTGAATGACTGCATGGTGGTGGGTATTCGTGATTGCTCTCTTTTCTCGTCCTCCCATGACCAGGGTAAGGCCAGTCAACTCATGAGGGGCTTGAACGCCAACGAGTCAGTCAGTCAGTCAATCACTCAGTCACTTACGCGAGTCGCACTCTTCAACATTTCTCTTGAGGCCATTTGTCAAGAGGTATCTATACCCGCCCGAGCAGACGTTCCAGTCACAAGGTCGATATCTACTCCCGCATCCGGCACTTCGCAATTTCCTATTAACCCTCTTCATGCTCGATCCCCATTTCGTTCAATCCCCATTTCGTTAACTCGTGTCTACATTAACTTTGATGTGTTTTTTTGTTTTGTGTTATTCCCGGGCTTGTTACAGCCGTTTCTCGAAGGGGGTAAGTATGTACGTTAGATAGTTGACTACTTCAGGCGGAATTATGGTTGGGATGGATGGGACTCGGGATGTTCAGGTAAGGAGATCAGGTAGGGTTCTCCATCAGCAATGACCGTATCAAGGATCTTCCAAAGGAAACACAGGCAGAATCAAGGTAATGGATTTTTTGTGTCTTAGCGATAGATAGTAGGATATTGCGGAGGTATGATGTTGTAGGATTTATGCGGCGTGTAATTTGGGGAACCCCCGGAGCTCTCGCGGCCGAGGCCTTATCTGAATGCACGGTCTAGATCTGAACGTTGCACTGGACCTTGAAGCGTGCCTGTCAGTCTCGTGGGGCAGAAGGACAAGGCCAAATGCCAATCTGACGGTGGTGGTAGTAAGTAGGTGGTGAATGTTAGATTCGATACCCTTCCACTTCACACTCTAAATGTCATTCTTGAGTCTCTATACACGGGCGGGAGGAGAAATTGAAGGAGAATCATGAACTTTTTCTAAACAAGGAAAAAAAAAGGAAACAGAAAAAGAGGTGTATATGAAAAAGAGACCCGCCCCGCAGACCCCGAAACCATGATGAAAAGAGTCATTGAAAAGAAAACGGGACATTCCCAGATTTGTTCATTGCTTTTTTTTTTGTCCGAAAGACTTCGAGAATCCTCTACTCCTCCATCCCATCCTCATCCTTGGCCAAAATCTCGACCTCACTCGTACTCCTCGTCCAGTGCGCCTTCAATGCGACCCGGAACTCCGACGAGACGACCCCAAACATTTTCAGGAGCGTGGTCTGCCGCGAATCCAGCACCTCCCCAGCCCGACACACAGGGTACCCCTCCTGTCCCTCCGTCAGCTCCAACATGACCTTCCCCTTCACGAGACGAGTCGGCACGCCCAGCTTGCGCAGCTCGGGCTCGATCGTGTGGCTAACGGGCTCGTCCTCGGAGGCAGGCACCTCGCCCGCCCGCGAGTACACGAGCCCCGCGGGGATGGTGAAGGCGCGCGTGCTAACCGTGCCGGCGCGCGCGTAGTCCAACGGCCGGAAGTTGTCGAAGTAGTCTGTCACGCTGGCGGGGTCGCGCGAGGTGAAGAGCAAGCCCACGGCGCCCGTCAGGGTCGGGGCCAGCTTGTGCAGGTTCTGGGCGGCTTCGGTTTCGGGGTTGTGGCCGAGGGCGACGGCCATGACTTTGGTTTTGCCGAAGAAGAGACTGCACCAGAGAAAGGGGGGTGTTGTTTTAGAAATTGGGCGGATAATGGGGAATGGCATTTATTGAGCAGGGAGGGATACCTACCGGCTATCGGCGAATTCGGTGCGCACATCCTTCAGGTATGTGTTGCGCATGTTGTCCACGCCAAATACAAACAGGTGATCGTACTTCTCGACGCATTCCCGGATGTTGGCGTATAGGCGGCGGGTCTGTTCCTTGTGCGACTTCTTGGTGGTCTTGGACTCGTGCACGACTCTGGCACGCTTGGAACGGGGCATGTTGGCGGTGCTGTGTGTGTGGGCGGCGGGATTAAGGAGGTAGGAGGTGTGGAATTTCGGATTAAGATAGTAAAGTCTTCTTCCTGGGTATCATACGAGACGAAAAAAAAGAGAATCAAATATGCAGTTTCAGTTCGGCTGGTGAAGTGGATCCTGAAGCAACAACGATCCCGGTGATTTTTTTTCTTGTCTTTTGACTTTTTTGATAACAGTCGGATTATTGTTGATGCGGGGCTTATCCGCACCCGACCTTCACTTCTGTTCCCCGCTAGTCCGCTTGGAGAATCACCAGTAGTTACTTGTAGATCGTCATCATTGGACTTACTGTATCAACAACACCTCCGCTCAATATTCAGTTCTGTTCCTTGCTTCGCGATTGATTGTCTCTGAGAACACGGGCCGGCATGTCGTAGAGCGCATTGATGTGCAAGATATCTGCCGCATCTCCCACTTGAGCCATCCGGTCCTCCTCTTCGACAATGCTCGACTTCATGGATTACATCCAACTCGCGTTCGCCGAGGCGACCAGCTGGAACCGCGACAACTCATACTCGTCGCTGACGGCTACTGCGCAGTGTGCGTTTTCCAGGGCATTAGACTCTCTATAACTGATGCTCGTCCAGCTAACCCTCCTGCCAGCCCTCCTAGACTTCTCTACCCCGGAACGTCTCCGCGTCCATCTCTCCTCCCTCTCGACGCCGCATTTCGCAACGAGCTACACCCTCGGCACCGTCGGCCTAATCGACGGCTCAGTCTCCTACCTCTTCAGCACCGTACCCCTCGACCACGCCGCCAGCCGCAGCACTCTGATCCCCCTCCGCAAGCTCTCCCCAGGCTACCGACAAGTGCAAGCGCCCGCCGCGCCGCTCGAGAATTTCCGGGTGGACTCCATCCTCGACGCCCTCCCGGACCCCCAAAGCAGCAGCCAACATGACCGCTGGCGCCGCCACCCCCAGAAAGCCACCTTGTTCCATGCGACCCTCCACCTCCCGCCGCCGACCACACTGAACGCCCTCTTCCTGCGTCGCATCTCCCCGACCATGCAGCTCTCGCTGGCCGTGTGCTCCACGCGGGGCCCGCCGCTCTCCAAATCCGCTCCGCAGGCGTCGCTCCTCACGCAGCTCTCCCACAACACCGGCAAATACAGCAACGAGTACCTCTTCAGCACGGACAATGCGCTGTTCGGCTGGCGCGGCCTGTGGAACTTCGGTCCGGATCCCCGCAGCACGTCAACAACCACCGCGCCGTTATCTCTTCTCTCTGCGGGCGCGGAAGCGTATTACTCGCCTGTTTCGTCGCTGTTGGGCATGTCGACTGGTCTGCGCTTCAGTACCCTCCCGGCAGCGACGGATGTGCCGTCGTCGGCTGTTAGTGGTAGTGGTAGTGGCAGCAGCAGCAGCAGCAGCAGCAATTGCAACAACCCCATCTCCACCTTCCCATACACCCTCACTCTGACCCTCACCCCGCTGACGGGCTCCCTTTCCACAACTTACTCCCTGCGTGCCTCGCCCAGTCTGGCTTTCAGCTCGCGCTTCGGGTTTAATGTGTATAGCTGGGAGAGCGAGATGGTTGCGGGGATGGAACTGTGGCGCAAGGGTCGGCGAGCCGTTGCTCCTGCGGTCGATGACGACGGACTGGAATGGGCGAGGCGCAAGATGCGTGGGGAGAGAGGGCCCTTTGTACCTCCTCCTCCTGCCCCTTCTTCTTCCGTCCTCCAGGAGCACCCTGCAAATAGAGCCGACGGAGAGGAAAATGAATCCGTGCTGAAAATCCGTGTGGATCAGTCGTGGAATGTCCGGTTGTTGTGGGAGGGGCGGGTGAAGGAGTTGTTGGTCAGTGCGGGTGTTGGGCTGGGGCCTAGCTCGTTTGCCTCCTCGCTGTCATCGCTGTCGTCAATGAGTGCGGCGGGCGCGCAGAGTTCGGGCGGTGGTGCCGCGGGGGTCGGCAAGTCGTATTGGCATGGGGTTGGAGTTTCGGTGTTGTATTCTTCTTGACATCGTACTTCGCGATGGTTGTAGATATACTCATTTACTTGGTTTACGAGCGTAGATGTTCTTATGGATTATATCCAACTAATAAAAGGTTTCAAGAGGATAAAGATTTTGTGGTATTTTTATAGACATCGGTTCTCATCGATATATGCACTTTCATTGAGTAGAGGCGGAAGGAGTGGGTTGTCCGCCTCGGTTTTGGGAGGGTCGGAGGAGTTCCTTTTCACATAAGCCCCTACCAGCAAGGCCAGCATGTCGGATTAGGGGAGTGACATGCCGGCGGTTTGATCGGGTATCATATCACGTTATCAGACGATGGTCGTAATTGCTTACAGACGAGCGTTGATAATGTCGACGACTGGTGGATGTTAGTTCAGCGAAACAGCCGGATGGTGGAAGGGGAAGAACGTACAGGCAGGCTTCAAGCTGGCACCGCCAACCAGGAACCCGTCGACATCGGCCTCCTTGGCCAGCTCGCGGCAGTTCTTCTCGCTGACGGAACCACCGTAGATGATGCGGGTGTTCTCGGCAGCCTCGGCGGAGATGGCGTCGGCGAGCCACTTGCGGATGGCAGCGTGAACCTCCTGGGCCTGCTCGGTGGTGGCGACCTTGCCGGTGCCAATGGCCCTGCGGAGATGTTAGCATTGAGAAACGCAAGAAGCTGGGTTGTGCCACAAGAAGGGGCAAGGGCACCACACTTACCAGACGGGCTCGTAGGCGATGACAACCTTGGACCACTGCTCCTTGGTGAGCTCCTTGGCGACGGCGTTGAGCTGTCTGGTGACAACGTCGATCGTCTTGTTGGCCTCACGCTCCTGTCAAATGCCAGGCACGTCAGCATACCAGTACCACCAAGGTAATGAGTCTGAATAGCGGTAGGATGCTCAGAGTGGGGAGGGGTGGTTTGATTCTACTCTGACCGCAAAGGGGATCCACACAACATACCTCAAGAGTCTCACCGATGCAGAAGATGACGCTGACACCACCGTCAACGGCGGCCTTGACCTTACGGGCAATGAACTACAGAAGTGAGTATGTTAGTTACTGAATTAACAGTCTACATGCCAATTGGCCACACCATCCACAAGAACACCTACCTCGTCGCTCTCCTTCAAGATGACACGGCGCTCGCTGTGGCCGATGATGGTCCAGTTGATCTTGGCGTCACGGAGCTGCTCGACACTGATCTCACCGGTGAAAGCACCGTTGGGCTTGTCGAAGACGTTCTGCGAGGCAACGCCGATCTTGTCGGAAACAGCCTCGCGGGCAGTGAGGAGGTAGAGGGAAGGAGGGGAGATGACAACCTCGACGGACTCGTCGAGCTTGGCGTCGTTGAGGTTCTTGATGATGGAGGTAATGCTCTCGGCAGTACCGTTCCTATTGGGAGAGAAAAGAAAGGTCCAGGTTAGTACTCTCAGTTAAAATCTTTGGTGGGAATTGACAGGGATTGTGAGGTTGTACGTACATCTTAAAGTTACCACCGACGAAGAATTGGCGAGGCATCTTGAAGGATTGGTTGTGTGAGTGGAAGAGACGAGGAGAGAGACGAAAGAGGGACCTGGTGAGGATTGGGAATGGTGGATTGAAAGCCGGAGTATGGAAGAGTGAGAGAGGAGAAGAGAAAAAGAAGGGAAGAAGAAGAAGAGGAAGGGAAGAAGAAGAATGATGACGAGGAAGACGAGAGAAACACGGAGGGGGGAGGGAGGGAGGGGCTCGGGCCGGTGTGAGGGAAAGGAAGGCTTTGGGTGTTGGCGGGGCTTATCGATAAGTACAGTACTTAGTAACTCCTAGTGTACTTAACACTAACTGCCTCTGAGCTGGCACAACCTATTGTACAAAACACTCCAGCTGCACAGCTTCCCCACCTCCTGCATCCAATTTTCCTTCTTCCCTGTTGCCTTCTGCTCTACTGCATTCGGGCAATTCTCCGCGTGACCTGCAAAAGGTTCTGCCATTAAGTACATACAACATCTTATCAAACTGAATTCCAATAGTGTTAGAAACTAAACTCCCTGCCCACCTCCTCCAATGACGTTATGGAATACCCACATCCCTTCTTCACCCGAGGAAACGCCCGAAAATGAAACGGAGACCTCAACCGGAACAAAACAACTCCCCGACTCTCCCTGCTCAGTAAAACTGTGGATTCGATACCATCTCAGTGAGACTTCTGCATAAAGTCAACGAAGATCGTCCAACGGGCGATATCGTCGAGAATAAAATGACCCTGAGTCCCGGAGTGACAGGCGACGGGGCAGGTAACCTCCATTGTCCCATTCCTCCTGCAGCACCCGCGCCTTGAGATCTAATAGTCTCTCGCGATGCTCTAGTCGCGCCTCGCGATCATCCAACATCCGGGTTCGAATGTCGTTGCGCATCCGTCCTCCCTCATAGCGGCCCATTCTCTCATCCAGCAATTGCTGCATGTCCACCGCCTTGGGAGGAACAGGGGCCTGAATAATCTTGGGCCGATCTCGGGCCAGCCGTGTAACTTCTCGGTTGACAATGACCCTGGGGTCAGTGGGATGGCTCTTGGCAGGGATCACATCAATCGGGCCAGCAGGGGAACCACTGCGACCAGTCCCCGGCTTCAAAATCCCCTTTGGTGGCTGCTTCCGGCAGTGCGTACGATAGGTCTGCTTGGCGCTCGAGGTGGAATGGCGACGGTATAAACTGCCTCGCCATGGCTGACGGCTTTCTTCAGTTTCTAACTCCCCGTCAGAGTCCTCGGACACTGAAAGCTCGTCCTCGAAGTCAAATTCGGACTCTACATCGTCCACACTGCTTGACTCTAGTGCGGAATCTGTCTCCGGTTCCGTGACTGGAATTCTCATGTTGGTATGCTCGGGCGTAGGATAAGTGGGTGTATGGAGTCTGGTCTTACCCATCTCTTGCATTTCAGGATGTCCTAACGGACTGGACTGGGAATGAAGAGTGGGTCCTCGATGGACCGGACCCTGTGCGACAGAAGCCCCTCGTGGATCAGCCCACATGGCCGGCATCTGTGGAATATTCGTGTGGGTGCCGTGCCCTGCACTGGGTGTTGTAGGGTCATGCAGCATAACTGAAGGACGATGCTGTTGGTGCGCACTAGCTGGCATCGCTTGTTGCATCCAAGCTGCCCACTGTTGAGGAGTGGGTTGTTGTGCTCCTGTCGGAATTGGGTGTTGCGGCGGAGGAGGTGGGACTTGAACATTATTGGGCTTGGAGGGCAATGTCTGGTGAACATCGGGTACGCTTATTGACGTTGCCTGATGAACGGCAGACCCTTGATGAACGGCAGGTTCCCGGTGGACAACAGGCGCCGCCTTCCTAGCAATGGAGTCCACGAGAGGAACAGCTTGGCCTATCTTAGGCTCCTTGCTGAAGAGACCATGAGGCGTAGGAGTCTGAAAGGTCTCTCTGGTAGGGTTAGTTCTTTCCACCGGTTCATTAACCCAGACCGTGGGGTAAACCAAAGTTGCGGCCTTCTTCAAAATAATGACATCCAACGACACCGTCTCGTAATCGCCGCGTCGATGATTCTTGCCCTTGAACGGTTTCTCGTCCTCCTTGACATAGACACAAGTCCACTCAAACCGAGGACCACCCGACTTGAGCTCGTGAATCAGCTGATCGACATGGGCACGCTTCACCTTAGACAACGAATGATATTGCTCAGCCACTGGTATTCTTTTGTTCCGGCTGGCCACTAAATTCATCAATTCTGATTGACTGAGATGCATCTTCGCCCTCTCGATCTGACCCCAGGTGCTCTTCTTCCCAGGAGCGGGGGTGGCTTTGACAAAGGTATACCCCAAGTATAGGAGAGGGCTGCCTGCATCGATATCATCCATGGCAGCTAGGCCTTCTGCTCTAGGAGAGTTCTTGTTTGAAGCCCTTTCGGTTTGCACATGGAGCCGGTTCATGCAGTTGATTAAGTATTCCGGGCTCGCTCGACCTTGTGTCTTGATGGGGACTATATGAGGAACCTCATTTGGCTGAGCAGATGGATGATGGATAGGAGGGATAGGAGGAACAGGAGGAAGGGGTGGAACCAAGTTGTCTGAGTTGAATTTCGCCATACGGTTCAATGGCCGCTTCGTTGGGAGGGGCGAGATCCCAGACACAGTCCACGAAGTTGAAGACGGAAAACCAACTGAGCAGCAGGCACAGAAACAAAGAAATATTGAAAGGCAAGTGAGCTTCCAGAGATTTTGAACAGCGAAACTTTTAGCTGGAACAGACGGGGGCCTCGAGCAACTATGCGTGCCTCTTATACAGAGGAGGGAGGGGGGGGGGGGGGGGAGGCAAAGAGGCAGTAGAGGACAATCAGTCTTTTACACTCCAACTTCCGACAGACAGGCTGTAGGAATGTTTCATACCGCGCAGAGGCCAGCTGTGGTCTGCCTTATCATTGAATAGGCTGGCTTGGGTTGCGCTAAAGAGAATGTCCGAATTTCAGGGAAGTATAAAGGGAGAGAAAAAAAAAAACAAGAAAAGGAAAACCCGCCGAAGGTAGTCTACAGATAGGAGGGAGTGGTAGTTAACTATTTACTTATTTACTCCTACAGTCGCTCAGTCTCTGATCGTCCGTCTGAGGGCAACGTGCAAGTCACCTTTGCTTGCAGGGCGCAAAAAGAGCCCGGGCAAGACCAGGCTGCACGGCCTTCTTTTGTATTCCGCGATTTCCTTCTTACTCAAGGCCTCGTATTACTCCCACGCCTCAGCCGCAATGGATTTGGAGAATTGGGGGCTATGCAGGGGATGAAAGACCCAACAGCAAGCAATATAGGACAAGAAGAAGAAAACCAAAAGTTGAGTCAATTCCTTGTTGACAAAGGTGATGTCGGATTCACAGTTGGATTGATGCCGCGTGGGCTCGACAATAGTGAGAAGACAAATTTCACCTTCAACAACCCCTTCCACCATTCAGCTGCAGGTGGCTCAACCTCAAGTCCAGGCAACAGGGCGCTCATTTGTAGCCTAACCACTCAGCAGTCGCTTCCAACACCGACGTTGAATCATCGCAGTCGTTGATTGGGTCTTTGACAGCCTCGAGAGCATGCAGCCAAGGCCAGCTGTGGCGCTTCAAGCGCCCTGGTGCAGAGCATTATCGCCTACAGTGCGCTCCCCTTTGCAGTATTCAACACCATCCACTCTTCCCCCACAGAAGAACATTGGACAGAAACACACGGAGTTTCTACTTGACCACAAGCAAGGTGGATCCCCTTATCGCGTTGCATATGTATGGAAGCTGCCATAGACGCTGCGCGACATACTTCAATACTTCACCCATTCTCGTCACAGGGAAAGAAAGCAGTGATGGGGACGGCCACTTCGGAGGTGCTCAAGTCTGCGACTTACTTTGCACTACCAAATCTCTCATTTGTCTCGGAAATACACTGTAGCCTTCGCGAGTGAAGGAAGACTCGTCCGCGACCGACTGTGGCTGAACCTTTCCCCCTACACTGATTAGGACTGCCCTCTCCAGCCAATCCCCAGCAGCATCCTTTGAGCATCAGCCACAGGAAGGCCTGCAAATTTCGTCTCTTGTTCTCTTTCACCTACTGATAGGTCTGTCGGGTGTGACTCATTTGCTCACGCCTGCAGGTGCAGGCACTTCAAGCAATGAGAGTTCAGTTGTATCGATTGTCATCATTGGTTGCCTTCTCTCATGGCTCTTACCGTTCTTTGCCATTGTACCCAGATGCCCTAAGAACTACGACTTTGTCATGTGCCTCGATTCCTGACAGCCATACTTGGCCGGGAATAGAATATGCAAATGCCATACCATGGACAGAAAACAAGGCTCGAGACTCAGCGATTGTTCCTGTTCTGTAGCGCGTCGGTTGTTCGACTCTTTTGATGCAGCATCTGAGATTTGTTTCTACTTTCGGCTCTTTTTAGTCTTTCAGTCCTGCCTTATGTCTGTTCTTTGTGTCAATCCAGCACAATGGGCTGTTGCCGCAATGGCTTTCATCCGCCGATCGGCGGGCTTTTGTTCCCGTCGCATCCTCGAAAGCACTGAAACGAAGGCATTGTGGAAGTGTTATACTCGAAGATCATCGGCTTCCTTCCTAGCATCGCCGCCAATATCACATCTGGCGACTATGTGGTTTCATTTAAGATGGCGATCCCCTCGGGATATTGCGGTCATGACGATTATCCGAATAAACACACACACCGTAGAGTTCTGCTCAGAAAGAAGCACGACTCTTCGAAACACCACCAAGTCACGTTATGACATCTCTCCCAACTTCGAAATGGGGTCGCGAGTTCAAATACCTTGTCCAGTTGTTGCGCAATACTCAAACGGGAACTTCAACAGGGCTAGCTCGTAGTTACCGTCAACTCACAGAATGGGATTCGCAATTTGCGGCAGTCATTCATGATCTCCTTGACCCAGAAAGTCCCCTGGCTGCCCAATACACAGAACTTCACCAAGTCCTCTCCCGTCGTTATGATGCAGCCTTGGCCGACCGGGATGTCGAAATCTCCCGATGCGATCACTTGTTCTACGATGAAACAGGCGCTGGAAGCCGATCCGACGGCATTCTCCACCAGACTCGCCGCCTGATTGACCCAGATACCGGATCACGGAGTACTGCAGAGAAGAGGAAGAAAAGGTGGTTGCAGCGGTGTCGCATAATCACTGAAGACTTCGTTATCCGGGGCATTCTCGGCGCCGGAGGTATGTTCACTCTCCAAGGCATCATCTCAGGGTGTTCCTACTGATTCTGACTTTCATAGCTTACGGTGTTGTCTTTCTTGCCCATAAAAGTGAGTTCCCTACATCAATCTGTGATATTATGGGGAGACAGCATACTGATTCATCTGGCCAATTCAGAGGGCATGGAAAATGAATTGTACGCCATCAAGATGCAGAATCTAGTCACGATCTTCACAACGATGGAACAACACAATCGGCCGGATGTGGTCGGACCTTGTGGGAATAACCCTCAGGTGGCACCCTTGCTGCACGAAGATCTCCCGGATCTCAGCGGATCCCAGATCGAAATTACAGATCTCACCGGCTTCTACTATGTTCCAGTCGAGGCATACATCCTGCTTCTTGCCAACGAGTGTGACAGATTTCCAACCCTGGACTCAGTTTACAGCCACGAAGACTCTCAGGCTATTGTGATGTCCGCCCACGTCGACAAGGAGGTCGCCGCAATGGACTGGGACCCCGACGCCACTTATGATCAATGGGAAAGCGGAAAAGAGAAAATTCGAGCCTGCACCGCCAAAGAACTGATACAATGGAAGAAGACGTACCTTAAGGAGCATATGGTCTGCAAGATCGCGTCTCATCTCCTGGAAGCAGTTGCCTATTTGCGCGACATGGGGATCAGCCACGACGACATCAAGCATGATAATTACATCATAGACGAGAACCTTAACGTGCGTTGACCCCCCTGAATCGCATGAACAGCCATGATGAGCCATTTGCGACTGTTCCCCCTTGCCCTGAACCTCTTGGATAACCTCGTTGAACTACTGGCAAAGTGAAAAGCTAACCCGTTCTTTGAGAGAGCAGACGACCCTAATAGACATTGGGCTCTACAAATTCGCACTCGATGAATTCGATTACACAGACGATGTATTCATTTACGCACCCGTCTACGAGGGGCTTATCACGCCGGAAGTGACGTGCGAGCTCTTGAAAAAGGTTTACCAGCAGGAAGCGAAAAAGGGTGCCTTCTTGAAGATCAAACTCACTCACGATGTTCGGATGGTCGGCTTGTGGGCGCTGGCCTCCAACATCTACGAGATTCTGCACGGGTACTTTCCTTGGGAAGATCCCGAGTACGATGATAGGATTGAAAGCCTGTATTTCTACGCATCGGCCAAAGGAGCGCAGCGGGAGATGCGGGTGAAAGCAGTCGATCAACGGCGCAGAAGGGTCATAAACACGGAGGTGCCGCTCCGGGAGGGGCTTTCACAGGACTGTGCGGATGCCATGCTAATGATGTTCGCGAAGGATCCGAATGAAAGACCGAGCCTGCCGGTGGTGGAGTCTTACCCGTGGTTTGGCCAGTGGGATTATCGCGATCCCCAGGATTTCAGGCGACCTACAAGCGTTCGTGAGTACGAAGCAGAGTACGACATCTCGTGAGTATGAAGAACCGGAAGACAGACAAGCAGTGGGGTTATCGGTGGCTGTCTCTTCTTTTTTCCTCGAAATAGTGTTGTTGATCTCTTTTGTTTGTCTGGTTGCAGAGTGCGTGGCCTCCCCGCTGGATCAGGGTAGGCTACCAGATCTGTTTGTACGAGACCCAGTTGTGTGTTGGTACATTCAGCGTGCCTGGAATATAGAAGGTGCAAAGGTTGCTTGCGGGAGATGTGCAATGGATATATTTATAGAATGCGCAAGGGCTACGCTTGGAGAATGATAATGCTTTATGCCCAACCCGAATAACCCCTACCCACAAAAGGTGGGAACAGCACGAGAAACAGAACGGTAGAAGAGATCATTAGATTGAAATCCAAGCAGCATCGGCTCATGTCATACCATCAACGACGAAGACTATCCAGCCTTGCCTGTAGGTCATCATCACCTGCGTTCCCACCGGCGCCCACCGGTTGGGCGACTCTGGCCTCTCCGACGGCCGTCTTTTGTATATCCGTCGGCGTCTCACCGAGCTAAAAGTGCGAAGCACAGTCAGTATACGAGGGGCATCACCCACATATCCCCGGGAAGTGCAATAAAGGAAGGGAAGAAGACGCACCGCCTGGCTCAGATCCACACCAATCTCATCCAGCACCTCCTTGACGATATCCTCGCTATCCTCCTCCTCGCCCTCCATGCCGGTCGCCTCATCGATCGCATCATCCATCATCTCCTGCCGTTGATCCATAATATCATTCTCGCGCTCAAACTCCATAGCGATCCGCTGTAGCGCGGGCAAATTCATCTGCCGGTTCATACTCCCCAGCAACATCGTCGCTCCTTTCATCGACTGCATCATCTGCTCATTACTGCGTACCGTCTATCGCCCCGGAAAGATAGCGTCAGCAAAGCCACCCAAACCAAACCAACTCCCTTCCCCTCCGCTTCCTCCTCCACGGTGGAAAGACCATGGCGCTCACCTGAATCCGCAACGAAATTGCCTGCAACTGCGTGCGCATCTGATAGAACTTCTGGATGTAGCGGCGCGTGCGCACCAGATCCTTCGCCTGGATCTTGCAGGCGCCAATCTGCCCGTTCTTGGCGCTCTTCTTGATGTCCTGGACGAGCTTCTTCTCCTGGTTCTCGAGCTTCACGCGCTCGCGGTCGAGTTCGCGTTGTGTGCGGTCGAGGGCCCGTTGATGTTTGCGGAGACGTTCGGCGGGGGTCATGCGTTTGCCGAAGGCCCATTCGACGATCTGGGGGGGGGGTTTATTGTTTAGTAGGTCTTAAGTGGAGGAGGGAAGGGGAGGGAGGGGGTGATTGGGGGTGGGGATTGTTGCTCACGTTCATGGTGATGGTTTGTTCGGGGATCACACCACTTTTGAAAGGAGAAGAGCGCAGGAAGAGGAGGAAATATCAGACGATTGGGATCGTGGTGGGGGGTTCTTGGTGGTGGTGGTCGTGGTGTTGATAAGTGAAGCAAAGCAGCCACAGACAGTAGGCGGAGAGAGAGGCTCAGTGACATCAAGGCTGACCGGGATGGAGATGCTGTACGGTACTTTCGAGGTGATACTGATTTTTACCCCCGTCATCTCCATGGCTGACCGACAGCAATACACACTACATACCTGTAATTAATCACGCCGTCACATGCAGGGCGGGATTCTTCACTAAACCCCTTTCGGCCCCTCCATGAACGAATTATTTTCCCTCTGGTTCTTTGCCTCCCACGGCTGTTAATTTACTTTACTTCCGATAGTCATCCATGATTGCTTGCTTGCTTGCTTGCTTGCTTCTGGGTGCATGCATACATTACATTCTTATTACCGAAATTATTGTTCTCATCACTAAGCCCAAATCTAATCTCCCTCGCCTCCCACGGCACACCCGGTCTTACCACTCCTTCTGATCCCCTCCTCAACTTTTCCTTCTTCTATTCTTATCCTTGTCCTTCCTTTGATTCAACCAGTCCATCTCTTTCAGCGCTGGGTGACGCCCACATGCAAATAACACCCCCTTCGCCATGAGTCAGGAGTACCACCCCGGCCAAGGCGCCTCTTCCTCCGCTTCTTCTTCTTCTTCTTCTTCCGCCGCCGCCTCCTCCTCCAGCAGCCAGCAGCAACCGCCGCTCGAGGACGCCGCCGCGATGAACAACAACAATTCCCCCTCCTTTCCGAGACCCCCGCCCGCCTACATGACCGTCGGCAACGGTTCGACCTCCGAGAGCGCAACTGCCTTGATGGCCTCGTTGCATGAGGATTCCGGGTACGGTGGCAGCATTCCCAGTGGCAGCGATGCTGGAAGTGCGGTTGGTGGCGGATGGCGTGCGGATCTGATGGTCGATAGCCCGACGCCTCTCCATACCCCCTCCCGGCTTGGAGAGTGGAATCCGGCAGGTGTGTTCTCTCTAGTGCTGTACCGGGATAGTTCGCTGGGTTGGAAATGTGGTTTAGCTGACGCGTTGGGTTCGCAGCCGAGCATGAGCGACAGGTTGTCGCGAGCCATGTTCATCAGTTGCTATAGTATGTGCGCCCCACAACTTTTCGTTCTTTGGCTGTTTGGTTTGTTGGTTGAAGTAGTCAGATTTTGTTCTTTGCGACGACATGCTAAGACCTGTGGCGGATAGCAACTCGAACCGAACTAAACTCGGACGCGCGATCTCGCGCACCATCGATACTTTGAAGGAACTCCAGGAGATGAACAAACAATGGCCCGCCCACTACCCTTCCGTTCAGAACGATTCCGACGCCCTCAACGACAAACCGACCTTGCACAAGAGACAATCCTATTTCGGAGAGGAGGCTTTGGATTCGATGCCCCATCCCGGCCAGCTGCGGCGCGCCGCTACCATGGCCGCCGGCGAGGATCTGGCCGAGTCGAGTGCCGCAGCGCAGCGTCGCGTTCCGACGGAACCCCGCCTAATGAGCCCGCAGATTGCGCAGGAGTTTTCGATCCTCAAGCTCGACTTGAAGCTGGGTGCTTTGTCGCAGGCTGAGCTGGTTCACTCGTTGGAGAAGGCGTCGATCGCGTCGCTGTTGGATGGCAAGATCAGCCAGAGCGTCAGGCACCTGCTCTCGCTCCGGGATCGCATTGAGGATACTTCCAGCAAGGTCTTGATTACGGGTGATTTGAACGCCGGAAAGTCGACATTCTGCAATGCGCTGTTGCGTCGTAAGGTTCTGCCCGAGGATCAGCAGCCGTGCACCAGCATCTTCTGCGAGGTTCTTGATGCGCGAGAGAACAGCGGGCTCGAGGAGGTGCATGCCGTTCACAAGGACGTGCAGTATAATCGGAACGACGAGAGCACCTACGACGTCTATGCGCTGCACGAGCTGGAGAACATTGTCATTGACAACTCCAAGTACATGCAGTGCAAAGTCTACGTGAAGGATGTGCGAACGATCGACGAATCTCTGCTTAATAACGGCGTTGTGGATATCGCGCTGATTGATGCGCCGGGACTGAATTCGGATTCTCTGAAAACGACCGCGGTCTTTGCCCGACAAGAGGAAATCGATGTGGTTGTGTTCGTGGTGTCAGCTGCTAACCACTTCACCCTTTCCGCCAAGGAGTTCATTCTCAATGCTGCCCATGAAAAAGCGTACATGTTTATTGTTGTCAACGGTTTCGATCAGATTCGCGATAAGCAGCGTTGTGAGCGCATGATCTTGGATCAGATTGGCAAGCTGAGCCCTCGCACCTACAAAGAGGCGGCCGAGCTTGTCCACTTTGTCTCCAGTAACGCCATCCCTGTGGCACCTCCGGTCTCGGTTTCAAGTTCTGGTGGTGGCGGCGATGACGGGTCTGACGATGATGAGCCCGAAGACAAGAAGGGCAAGGGCAAGGGCAAAGAGAGACAGAAGATCCAGGACTTTGAGAACCTTGAAGGTTCACTGCGTCGGTTCGTCCTAGAGAAGCGCTCGCGTTCCAAGCTTGCGCCTGCTCGGACATATCTTCTGAACTTGCTCGCGGATTTGAACTCCCTGGCTGGAGTCAACCGTGATGTGGCTCAGGCCGAACTCAAACGGGTCACGGACGAGCTGGCCGAACTGGAACCTGCGTACGAAGAGGGCAAGAAGAAGAAGGTGGAGCTCAGCGACCAGGTTGAGAAATACATCGATGAGTCGTGCGACGACGTTTACAACCACACTCGGTCTAGCTTGGGTGAAACCATTGCCCATGTCTCCGAAGCCGACTTGGGCGTTGAGTACCCCGGCTTGTTCTCTGCCTTCCAGTATGCCGAGGACCTGAAGTTGGCCATGCTGGATCAGATTGCCGCCTCCGTGGCTGACTGCGAGGACTATGCTCGCGAGAAGACGGTCAAGGGCGTTGGCTTCATCCAGAATATCGGTCTTTTGCACGTGGGCGAAGACAAGTTCGCGCCTCTGAACTTCCGCGCGGACATGATGTTCCGCCGTGGCCGTCGACACACGCTCGCTCGACAGGTTGACACAGAGGTGGAGATCTGGGATTTCTTCGATGTGTCTGGCATCTGGGAGCGACAGGAGAAGATGGCTGGTACCGGGATGGCGATGACCGCGGTGACTGTTCTTGGAGGTAGAGCCCTTGGTGGCATCGGCTGGGTCGACAGTATCTTCAGTGCTGTCCGGTTCCTGGGACCGAACAACGTACGCCGACTTTTCGTGCCCGGTGTCCTCGCAATTGGTACGTTTTGTTCCCTCTTCGCTATGGTTGACTTTCACTAATTGAAAATAGCCGCTTTGACCGCCGCCTGGATGGTCTCTACAATTCCGACCACCCTCCCCCCTCGTCTATCCCGCAAGCTTGCAGCTACCCTCCAAGAGATGGACTACGTTCACTCCAACGCGACACGTATTTCTTCCGAAGTCCGCCGCATCCTACGGCTGCCAGCTGGAAACCTCCAGACCAGTCTCGCGCAGGACGTCGAAAATCTGGGACGCCGCAAGCACGAAGTCAGCAAGACCAAGCACGAGAGCGAGACTGCCAGTAAGTACTTTTCGAATCTGTTCCGTGAGAGTGGCGAGAACCGCAGATCGGTGGAGAGCATCGATCTGGATGCGCCTCTGCCTGGAGGTCTTGCTGCGGCTCATTGAGCGTGGATCGGGAGGTAGTAAAGGTCTTTCGGCGGTGATTTCTTTTCTTTGTACAAACCGTAATGATGCTGTACGAAATTTCTATTTATTCCCTCTCTTCTGTCTGGTGTGCTTTGGCCTTGTGGCGCTTTTCTTTTCTCCCTGGCTGCTTTTGCGCAGTCTTGACTCCAAAATATTCCCACCGTGCACTGTACCGGTCACGTTTTTCTTTTCTTCTTTAGCATTTCTGCTTTAGTGAGAGTGTGTTTAGTGCAGGAAGAATTCAGATACTAATCAAATATACTTCCGGAATTAATATTACCTGATGATCGTGTGTACAAGTCTAGCTCATTGCACTATTGTTGTGCTGCTCTTACCAGGCTATACATAGCGTTGCCATAGAACCGGTTAGTGGTGGCTGGGCTCTGTACGCCACGTCGCGGCCCGTGCCGTCTGTCACCCTGGCTTACCCGATGAGGTCACTTCACGTGAGCTGTGATTCTGAGAGGATCTTACCTTAACTAGTATAATATCCAAGAGATAATTACACATAAATGAATAATCCGAAGTGGGGTCTCAACAATAGTTTCAAAGTGCAAAAGGTTCATAAAAGAAGTCTTTGAAGGGTTATCCTACTAAATTCAAGCTTCTCAACCGCCGAATCCTTAACAAAAAAAGTTATAGCGGTATCCTATTCACGGTCATAGCTTCTACAGATCCAGATCACTCCACACCAGACAGTAGCAATTTCACAGCTATATTTTTCTAAATAAGCATAAAAGAATATTCTATTAACAGATCTGGTATAAATAGAGCCATCTTCACGCAGGATTGTGCTGAATTTCAAGAGAAAAGAATTACTAGTGATGTACAAAGGCCAAAATGTTTAGTGGAGTGGGTGAAGTGCCAGACAAGTGATATTCACGGCCTTTTCCAGGAATCTCAAGAAGGATCTGCAGAGTGAGATACCGCTTACTTACTCTCTTAACCTTCTCTCGCCCTCTCTCTCTTACTCTCTCCTGTACTCTTTCTTTCTTCTCCACCTCTCACCTCCTATCTTGTTACCTCACCTTCTTCTACATTATCACCTTCTGGAATAAGTCTCTCAGGAGGTGAGATGCTGTACAATATGTACAATACATGATTATACTCCAAGCATGTTCTATCGTGATGAAGAAGTCGCTATGCCCAGGCTAACTGAATAGTCTGTTCTCAGTGCAGGCTATGCTATATGCTTTCACTTGCTATAGCACAGACACTTTTATGGAATCTGAAAATCCCACGGCATCTTCACAAGGCAAAGATGATGAAAACATTGGGGCTGAGGAGATCCGATCGGTTTCAACTATGGCCCGTGGTCGCTTTCCACAACATATACAAAAGACACCTTATGGATTGACCTGACCTCTTGCTCACTGGCGGTTCAGCAGGACATGGTGATGGCATACACAGCAGCTGTGAATGGATGCAATACCTCAATTACATCAATCTCAGGAGGTCAACACACAACCTATCCAGTTCGGCTTACTTGCTCACTCTTTCTTCTGGAAAAGAACCAAATTCAGCCAGGGTGAACTCCTTCACCTGAATACCTTGTCATCACCGTGACAGTGAAAAGTCTATTTCTCAGCAATCATGTGGAACTTCTTGGACAGTGTATCAGGTGCCTCTTAGCATGCCTTACCCCTCGTTTGCCTCATTTATCAACAGTGAGGTTGTTGAATCGTGTTACTCACTTTTAGCACCTACTGCTATGACGACGACCACCACAATAATCACAACCAGCTGGACCTCAAACACACCCATCCTCAAGTAGCCTTCTTGCTTCCATATTGCATATTGCAAACCAAAACCCAGCAAGACGGTATTCGGCACATTGATAAGCTGAAATATCACGATGTGACGGAGACAAATTCCGCTTGCCTCTTGAGTCAGACTCCATGAGTGCTTCCTTTGTTCCAGAATGACACGGAATTCACCATCTCTGTATGCTCCAGTAACTCTTCTCATGATACACTCAGTGTCGTGCAAACCATGTCCAATTCTCTTTAAGTTCCGGCTAATGAGCGCTTGGTTGGACTTCGTTCTCTCTCAGAGGCAACGCTGTCTTCATACCGTCGTACCACATGAATAACAACACCTTCGGGCAACGAGAAGCAAGCCTGCCAGCTTTTCACTCTGGTACGCTAAAGTCCGCATGATATGCTTTCTTGATGCGGAGTCGCATAGCATTCTTACAACCTGTCACACGGTGTACGCTTGAAGACAATACAAGAATTCTTCGCTTTACAAATGTTGTAAGGCCCTTAACATCAATATCAATGTGCATGTATGCAGCATGGAGACCAGCAGTCGGAACCGGCGAGATGTCAAGCCAGTACCTGTGAGAACCACAGGTCGGAGGATTCGTGCTCGACGAACTTCTTCCTGTTCAGCTTGCTACTATTGCTCGGACAAGGGACAATCAATTGACTGATTGAGAAGCGAATAAGATGCTTGAGGGATTGCCTCTCTCTTTTTTATCAGCTTGACTTGCGTCACCCATATATCATACCAGGAAGCTATAATCTAAACAGATCGCTATCATTATTGCTGCATGATGTTCCAGTGTCGCAGACCTTGGCAATTTGACGACCATGAATGGCATCACTTCATTCGATAGTCGGTATTGGTATAGCAGTTCCAGGGACGAAATGCTGGACTATTACTTTGATGGCGCGGCATATTCGACGACTTCCTTAAGATTTGAGGATCCGAAGCTTAGCCCTCAATCAAATCCATCGACTGCCATGATTCTCGGGGGCGTTGCAGATCTATTGTCCCAATCCTCAACCCTACACATGTAGGAGTCAGAGGGTGGCCAAAGTAACAGGCCCAGAAAAAAAAGACGTCTGCAGCAGCATCTACGCAGTGGAATTTGTCTCCTAAAGTACTGAAACTCGTGTTGGTCTTTAGTTCACATACCAACCTCAGGCAAAAGGAAAATTCTAATTCCTGTGCCGAAGTCTCAAATAATGTGAGGGAGAAAATTTTCTAGGTCGTCTTCACAGGCTGGAAACAATTGAAACCAATCAACGAACTGGAAAGGTGCCGAAAGCGCGCGAGACAGAGACACTCGAAACTAAGTCGTCTACCAAGTTAATGCGCACAAGCGACTCTTTGGCTTCATTACGCAACTATGAAAATAAGCCAGTCACCAATATATGAATCGAGACTGCAGCTTTCCAATGGGCCACGATGTGATTAATTTATGGTACTGCTCTTGATTAACAAAATCATAAACAAAACGTGAGCTTCAACTACGACTACAAGAAAAAGAGAAAATGAAGAAGCCAGCTGGACGAAAGGCGTCTGCACAGAACCAGCCAGTGCCAAATCTGTCTCTTACCAAGAATGGTCTGACTGGCCGCAGACTGGGTCCTTTCTTCTGATGCCTAGACTTCAGGCAAGAAATCAGCAGTGAAGGGTGGGCCACAGCTGAGAATGAAGTCCTTGAGGAGAACGCGTCTTCAGAGGCAGAATAATGTCTTCACGCTCTTCATCAGGTTACTAGTCGTTGGTTCATCGGACCGTCGTTTACCGCAGAGTATACTATTTCAACGTCCCATGACGGTTATGATCAACCTTCCCAGTCAGAATATCTTTAGATTCCTCTAAGAAACTTGCATTTGATCGGGCAGGAGACCTGGGAGTATCAAGCTTTGGCGACCACCACCAACTTGATCGTTTATACACTGCCGGTTACATTGATCGGAGCTTCGTTTCACTGAATTCAACCATATCGGTCGATGATTCTATCCCAGAAATAACAAAGCGTCATCACAGATACGGCGCCATTGTCGTCATCGGACAAGGACGTGTTAAGTCGACGCGATGGCGTCTGAGCTCTCAAACCTGACCCACTGCGGGCATTAATGAACGAACTCTTTAACAATGGGCACGAATAGGGCGTGCCTGGTTAAGGAGAATTACAAAGTATTAGGAAGACGTCGATAAGCTTCATGTCTTGCCGGGCTTAGCTGGCTTTTACGCTATATATCCATGTGCCTGCTTGGGTCAGAGAGGAATACGGACGGCTGATGGGGGAGCGTGTCCCTGACTGGTAACGCAAATTCAAGATTGAATGGAGACATTGTCTTCAAAAAGTGGTTGAACAAGCGGGATCCCTTCATACAAATCTTATCCAGAATCCGAGCGTCACGCTTGTTACCAAGCTGCGATGCATTGCATCACAGATAAAACCTTGGAACTGGGTATCCGTCTTGTTCGACAAGTAATGGCGAGGAGTATTTACGCATCTGGCTTGCACGACTATGTGCTTGACGTGGAAAGAAGGCTTAGTAAAGGCTTCTCAAAGAAGAAACACAGCTGGCTACGGAATAAGCGCCTGTCCGCCAGATCTTTCGTGCCGCCGGTAAAGGCACTGTGGTAGCCATATCCTGCAAGCTACGCCGAAAAGACAAAGCTATGCTCAGTCAACGCCTAATTATGCCTGACCCAGGCTACGCAAGTCATTGTCCACCGCTAGTGTTAGTGAGTCAGATGAGGCTTAAGATCCTCGACCTCTTAACAACGATGCCAGTCCTGATCGTACCGATGATGACGAAACCAGTAGCAAGAATAAGGGCAAGCATCCTGCCACCGATGATGGCTCTAACTTGCTATTAGGGAGTGATTACCTTACACCCTACCCAGTCAGTGAGACCATACCTGATCTAGCACTATCGCATCCGGATGCTCAATTTGTGGCTAAGAATACCAAGACAATCAATAAATAAAGACATATGTGGAGAACCCTACACCGCAAGCACTTTACACGTCGGCCTCCCACAGCAACCCCGGCGGCGATAAACAGCAAGACCAATATCGTCAGACCCATTATACGTAGAACATGGAACTACGACACAAGAGTTCATCGTCGCTTCAAATAAAGGAGTATCTACTCTCAACACTTTCCACAATTACTTGATCAACAAGTCCACTACGAAGAAGCCTGATACTTGGAGAGCAAAGCCCGATAAGACCATCGAGTCCACTATCACTAACAAAGCACTCACCGACCAACCAACCGAGACCAAGACATATCCGCCGGCAAGCAGCTAGTGGGAAAGGATAACGAGACAGTACGTTCCCTGACAATTACAATCGAAGCAGGATGAACTTGCAAGACTTGGTCTGTATTACTTTGAGAGATGAGAATAATTGCAATGAAAAGAAACGAATCAGCTGCCTATTGTTTCGTATCTGACTCGGATCCCCATTACCTATACCATCTTCTTGTTCTTGTTCCTTATTATCAAATCTTGATCCCCTCCTATAGCCTAAACCCTAGGCTAAGCAGCCGAGACTTGCATCCCAGTCCACTTCTACTGAGGAGGGCAGTGCGGTTCAAGCAGATCCTAATTCCGATGAAACATGTCTCTTAAAATCCACACGACAGAGGGAAGAATCGTCTTTGTTTGGGTGGGGGGAAGAGATACTCATTCTCTCCGGGAATGATACGATACATGACGCATCCTCGAGCAAGCTCCCACTTCCCATCATTCCGGGCTCCGTCGTGAGGGAACCCTGACGCTGATGGATGTATTGGACGGGGAAAACGCCTTGTTTGGGGAAACATTGCTGCAATCACATCCCACACGTGAACGAGGGGGTGGAGAACTACTGCCTAGAGACTTCTGAGCTTCGATTCTTATGCGCTCGGAGGTTCCAGACACAGTACATCTCTGACGACTACTGCTCACTTCGATTCCGATTCCGATAACCTCGTTACTCCATCGCCTAAGAGCTTAAGAAAGACTACGCAGAGCGAGGAAATCATTCTGCTTCGCGAGATAATATCCAACCATGATACTCCCCCCGCCCCCGAAAAGACTGTTCGCGGAAAGCTTCCAGCAGATCTGGAAATTTTGCGTCGAAAGTACCTAAAAATAGCAGGATACTTACTCCTGCCTACATCGTGGCAGAAAAATCTATTCGCTGCTTGTAAACTATCCTTGCGTATAACAGCGGCTAAAAGTCTTCGCAATCCGAGGGCAAGCTCATTTTAAGCATGATTATATGAACCGGTTTGATGGTCCACAATAAAGGCACAGAAACGGGAGAGAGGGTAGCTGCGAATGTTGGGGAAGAGTATGTTCGCTAGTAACCTTATTTGAGCTTTTAGAAGCAATTCTAACAATGAAAGCAAGGGGGTCGGGTTGACTGTACAAGGGTTCGTGTAGTTGCGGCGATTCAGCTAATTCCGTTCTTGACAGGGAGACATGCTTATTCTAGAGTATCTGGTGTATACAATCATTATGATTTAAGCAGTAGATTATGTACCGAAAGCTAAATAGACTGGTTTCAAAGAGAGTAGAGTAGAGAAGTATATTTACTAGTATGGGTTTGGAGAAAGAAGGAACAGAAGTAGAGTAGAAAAAACACTACTATACCATAGGAGTTGAACAAATCATAGATATAACTGTTATAAATAGATATCGGAAGTCATCTAATAAGTGGATCAGTAAATAAAGTCTTGGAATCTGGATATTGAGATAGTTTATATACTAATTATGAAGCAAGACATGAATAAGTAAAACGACTTCTGACTTCTAATAAATAGCAATCTCTGCCCACAAATGGAGTGACGGGGGAAGGACATTGTAGAAAAGCTAAGAAAAAAGCCCAGCCATCAGAAGCAGACGGACGAAATCGTGGAAAGCTCTTGGCGCGATTCGGTTGAAAGAGAACAGGGCTTCGGTAGTCACGTGCTATGTCTCGATTTATCATAAGAGGAGAGGTATGGGACTGTGACCAGAGGATCGGAGAACATGACCAGGCAGCAAGGCTTTCTGATTTCTTTGGAGTAACCAGGCCATCACTGTATGCAGTAGAGCGAATTTACACACACGTGGAGTTCAGCCCCGTGGTGCCGGGAGGAAGTTCAGACAGCATCCAACAATCTTTGCCCGGCGGGAATGGCGGCGTTATAACCGACAACCACCTGGTCGTAGGTCATATCGTTCTCCCTGGGAAGTCATCCCGGGGCAAATACATCAAAGCCCCCTGAAGGTGGAGAGATGCAGCTCTGAAGAATTCGGTGGGTACGCTGAAAAGGTGAAGAGAAGAAGAATCCAAAATGAAAGCAGGAGAAACGGTGGATACTTGGGAGGCTTCAAGGAGAGGGTTTACGACAGACGGAGAGGTTCTCTGCCGAGAAACAACCAGTCAGGATGCTGTGCGTGCTCTGTTACAGTACGCTTCTCTACAATATCCCATTTATAAAAAAAAACAGCGGTTGTGTGCTCCAAAGAAGATCTAGATGGACATAGGCTTGGAGCAGATTCTGTCTAGAGTGTTGGTCTTTTGCTGCCTGAGTCTAGGCGCGCTCAGAACTTCCGAGCATGGCCGACGATGATTTGAAAACAGACTTCCCAAGCACAAGCATCCAGTAGAAGCAAAGCAGAGGACCCTGACTCGTTCATTGCCACGACCCTAGGCATTGACACGACGGACGGAACGATTCAGTGTCGGAGGACGGAATCTATATTTGCCCTTGGATGGAGGTGGTGGAGGATCGGCCCTGTTCAGACTGTCAGACTACATCAGAGGGAGGAAACATCGGCAGAGAAGGACTTACCCATCATATGCCAACTTGACCAGCAGATCGCCGCTTTGATTGAAGAGAGGATCCTTCATGAAGAAAGTACCGGCGGCGGGAAGACAGAGACGGTTTGCGTTGGCCATCGCCTCAGCCAATATGCCACTCACATCATTTAATGCACCGTTCATGCTGTCCTTGAGCCGCTCTGCGATCCCATCGGCGATATCTTTCGCAGTACGTGATAACTTCATGCCTCCACCATAGTCGTACGTGACGCTCACATGGTCGGTGCTGTCGTTGACACGGAAGACAATCCCGCCCTCTTCGATTGAGGTCATGTTCAATTCAAGTTCCCATGAGCTGAAGACATCGACCCAGAAGCTGCAGATTCATGGATCCGGCCCCCCGCGTCAGTATATCGCGTCAATTCTCATGATAGAAGAGATGGGACAGGAGGCTTACTCGGTAGGACTCATTCCGTCTCGGTGATGATTGAGTTGAAATGCAAATTTACTGCTTCCCTTCACGGTCAAGCTTTCCTTCCCGGCATCGAAAGCGGCTGTAGCCTGAATCTTGGTGGCTGGAAGAATGTTAGCTTGGGGAGGCATGTTCTTGCTTCTTCTTCTCAAAAGGATGAGGGCGAGGGCTATAGCATACCTTGCTCCTCCGCAGTCTCCCAGTCATTCCCATTCCCGGGTTTGACGACTTTGCCCGAAGAAGAGGACTTATCCGCAGTGCTCGTGGACCAGCCATTATTCCCATTGGGAACCCATTGATAATCAGAATCCGAAGCACCACTATCTCCAACATGATACCTCGCACCAAAGCTCCAGGGCGTGTCGGACGGGGTACCCACATATTCAACGTATGGCTTGTCTGGCATCGGAGTCATTGCCACGACCACCTGTCGGACGAGCGGCAGCATCCAGCCCCAGAACAAGGTGCGACTCATGCAGAACGAGGCGTCGCGGCCGCTTGCGTGATCCACCCATGGCCCGGTGTAAGCAATGGCGCCTTCTGCTGGAGGGTTTTTGAAGTCCGACATCAAGAGGTAGGACAGGGCATTGTCATCCTGATTATCCTGGTTGGACCCCTGCCCATTCGTCCCGCGCCAGGGATAGCAGAAGTAGTCGATACTGGTCGGGGGGAACGAGGGTGCGTAAGGGTTGACTGTCACGAAAATCAGCATTCAAGAAACGCAATACATGAGAGAGAGAGAGGGCTTCTTACGCTCATCGGCAGCCTTGCTATGCTCGCGCTGGGCTGACCAGCCGAGTATGTTCTTGCCATTCTCCGACATGCCTTTGATCCAGTGATCAATAAAAGTGAGCAGGCTGGCCCTGGAATCCCCGCTCAGGTCGTCCAACTTGGTATCGCCAGTGTTTGAAAGGTCAACGTTGAACTTGGTGCTGGCTTGAATCCACGTGAGAAGCAGGGCATCTGAAAGGAGAGTACAACCACTCACATGACGAGTCGATAAAGAGCTGTGCGAGAGAGAAGTTCGACTCTGGGAGCCCAGCACGTTCTTTGAACTGCTTGTACTCGTCTGAGTCCTTCGTGATCTTCTTCTGGTCTGGTGGTGGTCAACATCAATGGCAAGAGAACATCCTCATGCTTCCAGCCGCACTTACTGATCACCACATTGAAGGCGAGGACCCAGTTATTCACGGCGAGTGAGATGGTATCGTCAGACTCCTGGCTTTTATACAAGATGATTGTCCCTGTCTTCAAGGCCAAAAGGAAATACAGCATGGGCTCATGGCTTTCAACATGGAGCTGCACGGAAGGGGGCCCAACGGTGGCATCGATTGACTCCCCGTGAATGCTCTTGTGGAAGTGTGTCAAGGGGCTCTCATCGTCGCCCTGGGCTAGCTTCCACATGCTGTTGAATCCCGCATTGATGACCTTCTGCGAGAGAACGATAATCTGATCATAAGGATCGGGGCTGGTGTTGGCAATGAAAGAGTCCTGGGAGGAACTCATATTGGCGGATGCAGCCTGGGAATAGAAACAAAGATGTTAGTTGTGGGCTATCGGTCTGATCCATCAATAGAGACCAGCCTCCTATATATAGGCCCGATAAGGGCTCAAAATTGAATGAGGGCCGGGTATCGAGCACGTTCGATGGTTTCCGGCTCTTCATCGTCCGCGCCTATCGAGTGAGCTTGCGTCGTTCAGGCAGCCATAATTCTTTCGCAAACAAGTTTTCTTGACATTGTGCAGCTCCATAATTGCTTTTCTGCGGTTGCATCTTGCATAACTGACGTCAGAAACCTACGCTGGAGCGCAAAGCAGGTTCGAGCTTGATGATTCTGATGGGTTCAGTGTCCGTTCTGGCCCTGTTGATTTGACGAAAGGCAAAGGTTTCGTACTTGCGCGTGTCCAATCTTTCAGGTGCGCCACGGAGAGATATGAATTCCCCGCATGTTTTGATTAGAGCTGGACCCTCGCTCGGGGCGTCTGGAACTTCAGCTGGCAGGGGGGGTTGCTGCAGCAGTGACGTGGCGAGGGTAGACGACCTGCAGACAAGCGGTCATTGGTCTTTCACCGAGAATAACAAAGCAAGTCTCGAGTCACTCAGAGAAGTCTGCAGGAGTTCTTCTCATGTCAATGTGTATTTCCCCGCTTCTGGAGTGGGTTCGTATGCAAGCCCTATGCCATCTGTGGTCCGTTCCGCATCACGGGTACACCCTTCATGCATGAATGTGCAACTAACCATGCAGGTGTACAACACTTTCACAACGCACGCATCAACATCCAAGACATGGTGTATCGGGGTTGCTCGGTGGTCTGATCATTGCACATTTGGATACCTGACTGACGCGGTAGGCATGGCGTAAACCCTCCAAAAATCGCGCAGATGCGGGGTGCCATCAACAGGGTCTGTTTCGAGTCCGGCATCATGATCTCTCGGCTTCAGCTAGTAGCTTACAGCTAGGTGTGCTGAATGAAGACTTCATGCTTTGGGGGGATGCCTTTCAAGCAGAAGTCATACCCTTCCTATCTTATAAAAAAGGGCTTCCTCCTCATCTCCTCTCCTCCAACCACCATCACATTATTCCACCTCAATTCCCTCCAGCCCCATCTTGTCCTCGAGATCACTCCTTCATCATGATTACCGTCAAGAAGGACTCAGAGGTGATGACCAACTATGTGGCCGCCAACCCTGTCCCCGCTGGCGAGAACTTTGGCGTCTTCCACGATCAGCAATGGCAGCCCGCCGTATTCGCCCTGGGAGAAGACCACATTCTGAGTCTGATCATCACCGTAGATCGTGAGCCCAAGAAGTATGACTTTGCTAAGATCTCAGGTCTTTTCTCGCAGGAGGTCGAGGTGCAGGCATTTGCTGTCTTACAGGCCCCGGACTCGAGTCTCGATATCTGCATCGCCACCAAGGCAAGCGATACAACTTCGAATTTCTATCTCCTGCACCACATCACCCTGGACGAGATCCCAGGCACGGTGCCATCGGCGAAGGTGATTCAAGGGGTTTTCCCGACAGTGGATCATATTTACATGGTAGGGTGTTTCCTAATGATACGGGACGGACGGACAAAGCGACTGACTCGAGGACTTCATGCACTCAGGGGCACAAATCGAGCGACTCGGACCAAACCCTGCCTCTGGTGATGGTGGCCTTCCAACGACCGGACCGGTTGACCAAGACAGAGGATCTTAACTACGTCAAGGTCGAGGGTAAGAAGGCAACCCTAGTGACAGAATGGAGCCTACCGGTCAACCCGGAGAAGATCCTTGATGTAACGCTGGTCACCTGCCCACTGGGAGAGGGTGTCATGGTGCTCTACGAAGGGTTTTCAGGGGGCATGTTTCTCGTTTTCAAGGTGCTGGCCACTGACGACGGTAGCGATCCGGGGTTCGCCGTTCAGGTACCCTGTCCAGACGGTACGTGATCTCTCTCTGGTCTTTTTGCTTGCTCTGAGGGTTACTCGGCACGCAGCATTCTCATGCGTGAGCACGTCCATTGATATCGGATGGTAGGGGCGAGCTGCCTGGCTTCTTTCCTGGACCCGGCCAAACTCTCGACGGTCGTGTTGGTGGGCGGGAAGGAGATCACCGCGTTGACATCCAAGGAATACATGTCGTCCAAACACGGATCTGGCACGGTGATAGACAGTTTGAAAAACATCAGTGACCTCAAGGATTTGCATGTTTCGCAGACGGGTGAGGACCTCCGGCTCTGGTATACCACCGCGGCCGATGCAGTCTACTACTACACCACCACCACCACGGCTCTCTCCGAGGGCGTGGTCATTCCCCTCCTTGCAGAGGGCCTCGGAGGCCGGATCTCCAGTCTTCTGACAAGCCCGCCCGCTGACGGAGTTAGCAAGCTTCTGGTCAGCAGTCTTCTGTCAGTGGACGAGCACGGGAACCTCTCGCTCTTACAGCAGGACCCTACCTCTCAGGCATGGCAGCAGTACCCGTACTGGCACGCTTCGGTCGAGACGATCACGGAAGTGAAAGGATTAATGGTTCGACTGCATACGATGGTGGCAAATGACGGCGATGGCGACTCGGCGGACCATCTCCCAGGGTGCTGGCTACGCGTGAGCTGTTCCGGCGTGGTCCGGTGTATTGTGAATGGTCGTCATACTACACTCTCGCCCGCCGCGCAGTGGTATCAGACGGATGCCAAGGGCGTCTTGAATATTCTTCTGCAGACTGACGACGCAACAATCCACCAGTTCGCCGCAGACGCGTACCGTCCCGCGCAGAAACCGTCGCAGTCGTTGTCGGCATCCGCGGGAGAACGAACCCTGACCGATCCCCTCCTGGATCCCTCGCACAAGATCATCCCCAAGATCAGGGGGATCAAAACCGCGGACCAGGTCGTGAATCTCAAAAAGGCAGATGGAAGCCCGCTATTCGAAACAGCCCCCAAGGATCCCGGCCACGTTGCCGATATCTTTCAGCAGCTTGTCGCCAGTGCGGACGCTCTTCAGGAGAAGAATAAGCAACAGCTGCAGACATACCATGCAACGGTTACCTCGCCCACAAGCGGCTCCACGGTTGTCCCTTACGGGTTCTGGACCGATGTAGGGGATGCCTTTTCCGGAGCGTGGCATTGGCTCACTGATGTTGCGGAAGATGTCTGGGAATGGACTTGTCATATTGTCGGTAAGTCTGGCTATGCTCAGTATTCCATTCGTTCGCCAACCATGGCCCTTTCAAATTGAAGACTACCGGAAAGGTGGCTGATGCGTGTGTCAGATGACGTTTGGACCTTCATCGTCAAGATCGGCAAGGAAGTTTTCCAAATTGCCCTAGACACTATCACGTCCATTGTGAAGGGCATTATCTGGGTCTTCAAGAAGATTGGCGCTTTGATCGAGGACATCATCGAGCTCATCAGCTTCTTGTTCGAATGGGACGATATCCTCGCGACGACCGACAGCGTTGCCGCCGGATTCAACGCGGCCCTGGAATACGGCAAAGAGGCGCTGGATGCAGCAGACCTCGACGCGCACCAGTGGCTAGAGAACGTCCGCGCGACGATCCTGCAGAATCTCACCTCCCTTCAGGCTAATGACTATGACGGCGCGCGAGTGGGCAAGTCCACGACGGGAGTGGCCCGTACGACCGCCAGCGGAGATGCCGACGAGGATGAAGTCAAGGCAGGAGTGACCTATAACTGGTCTACCTACTACTTTACCTACGGCGGCGGACCGACAAATGCGGTGCTGCATGACGATAAGACCACTACTACCATCGCGACGGCAGCAGGTACTAGCGAGGATCAGCTGGTGAAGCTGTGGCAGGATGTCCAGGAGGAGGTGCAGATCATCTTGAAGACAGTGACGGCCGTGGCCAAAGATTTGGTCGAGTTCTTCAACCCGGCCAGCTTCAGCGCGCAGGAGGTGATGGGAAAGGTGGGCGAGGATCTCATCAACGGGATGATAGACGCGCTGAAGAAGCTGGCGGATATTCTGTTCGACGCCCTCAAACTGGGCATCGACCTCGTCCAGGACCTCGCGAACAAGGAGATTGACATCCCCGTAATCACATGGCTTTGGAAGAATGTCATCGCCCGGGGCCGACCCCTGACGCTGCTGAACTTCTGCGCGTTGTTGATCGCGGTGCCGACAACGGTACTGTATAAGGCCACGAAAAAGCAGGCACCGCCGAAGCTCAAAGGACGGTTGACGCAGAGCACGTTTGGCCAGTACGTCAAGGGCCAGGGGGAGGCGTCGCTCGCGTCCGATATCCGGGCGTTCAGTCTGGCTGCAGGCTCGGGGGTGCTTTTGGTGGGCAGCGAGTTCGACATGCTTTCGCTAGGGATCGACGGCGCCTTCGAAGGCCTAGGGCTCGAAACAATCCCGTTTGGCCCGGTGGATAGCATTATGAATGTCTTGGACTCGGCTTCCTTGACCTTTTCCACGGTGAATGGATTTACAACTTGGCCTGTGGCGAAGACGGCAGCGGCCTCAGGCGACTCCGCTGGGATGACCACCGCGTCGGTAGATACCAGGGATGCCATCAAATATGCGGTAAGTGATTGATTGGCTTGAAAGCTCCAACTTCCTATGCTTGTCACAATTTGTACACCCCCCGGGGCAAGATAGACTGACATCGCATCCAGGGCTGGGCCCTCGCCGGCGCCGACTTCGCGTCCAGCACCGTCATCAAGATCGTAAGCAAGAAGAAGAAGCTGGAACGGCCGGTGGTCAAACGATGGAAGGGAACCGTCGCTGCCGTCCTGTCGGTTCCGTCTCTCTGCCTTGGACTTACGGGGGATATTATGGATGCCAGCGAAGCTAGCAAGAACGAGGTCCTGATTGTGAACGGATTCATCGAGACGATCGCCGGGTTCGCCGCCACCTGGGGCCAGTCAGTGGCACGCTGGAACAACGAGCTCGAGAACTATCTCATGTACATTGGGTTGGCCGTGTATCAAGTCTGCACGCTGCTCAAGTACGGGCTTAAGTTGGAGGATTTCGCGATTGAGCAGCTGGATTGATTCACGTGGATGATATGATATGGATACATACTTCTCTCTTTTGTGGTACTCCGTGGGTCATGACATCATGCAGCTATCTCTGTAATTTGACAGCAGCAATGTGATCGCTTTAGTAGAGCGTTTAATTCAATCTGCAGGTAGACTTACAGTCCGTACGCTACCTGATGCTCCGTGAGCCCAATCGGGAAGAAGAAACACGTGTAGCTGCGCAACCATTTGATGTACTATCTTGAAAAATGCATCTCAAACCCACTCATGCTACTTCACATCAGCCCCAGTGACCATGGGATGACTTCAACGGCCGGTATTGGTGGGTGGGATAGATTTGAGCGCGTGGCAAGTAGTTGTACGCTAAGCAAAGCAAAGTAGCCATCTTGAACATCATAATCTGTTATCTCTCCGGAAAGATAGTATAACCACTACGTACGTGACTAGTGGATAGCAACGAGAAAGCCGGAAGACTGGACGGAGTACTTCCGATGGAGAAACCTGACTTGAACAGATGACGGCGTTGATGCTTGTTGATGAGGATGCGTAATGGCATGTAGGAGACGATCGGGTGGTAATAAATGATGAAGTCAGGGAACAAATGGACCACTCACCGAAAGGTGTAAGTATGTTTTGATGACGCCTGCGAGAGAGGTGGAAGATTGTTGAATCTCACTACGTGAGGCTAACTATCTGGAAGAAACTAAGGTACCTTATGTAAGGCCACCCGGGTGGGCGGTAAGCCGACCTGACCACTAAGGCCGAGGTCGCAGGGCCGCCTTCACCTTGATGGTAGCAAAGGGCGTAACCCAAAAGATGATGGTTCTTCATCCCATTCAGACAAATCAGGAGGATCGTGCTCCAGGGGTCATACGTCCGCTCCTGGGTCTTAGCAGAAAAGAGGGTATTCAGCGCTCAGTACAGCTCTGTCATTGCTTTGATCTCCACAATATCTTCTGTATCACTCCTTAGAATGATGTAGCTCTGTAAACTCACTCTTATTTGTCCCTCTTGCGTCTCGTTAGAGAATATACCAGCACAGTATCGAAGTATGAAGATCCTCCGTCTTCCACCTAACTTGAACCCCTGTCGTCTACTACAAGCCTCCCTCTACTACTGATATCTCATGAGCCTAAATCTTGGCAGGTGGGACTGACATCAATATTGCTGGGAAAGAGGCTCCATCGAATACGGTACTGTAAGCTCGGGTGATCATCAGAGTGGGGCAGTAAGCAAAAGTGCCGGGACGGAGTTGAGTGGGGCGTATTGCAAATTGACACGAGTAGCTTGCCGTAGGGGCGTATTCCTGCGGGGCGTATTCGGGAAGAGCGTATTTGGTGGGGCGTATTCCAGGGCCGTGCATCCGACAAAGCGTATCGCTAATCAATGCCTTTATACTTGTCCCTGGACGAGATATAAAATCTTCTTACCCCGACCAGCAAGAAGCTCTGAGATCATTCAGTTCAGTGAAAGTCCGTCACACAACCACTTGTACGCTGAAGCCTGCACGTCATGAACCTAAGAGCGCTCACTCTACTCTCGCTTGCAAGCTTAGCCCTTGCACTTCCCGAGCTTGGAGGCCATGACTTTCGCGCCCCGGGGCCCTTTGATAGTAATGATTCCATGCCTGCTACTCGTGGAAGTCACACTTAGTAACCACTCTTCCCCTTTTGCAGGCCGATCCCCCTGTCCCGGCCTAAATGCACTCGCCAATCACGGCTATCTCCCGCGCGATGGCAAGAACATCGACTACGAAATGATCAACCAAGCTGCCCAGGACGCATACAACTTTGAGTCGGGCTTCTACGTTGACGCGGTCAACATGGTTTTCCTGTTCAACATCTCCACCACCACCCGCCCGAACGAGACCTTCCACCTCTTCGATCTCGCCCGGCACGACACGATCGAGGCGGACGGGTCGCTCACCCGCAATGACATCTACTTCGGAGACGACGTCCACTTCGATGCCACCGTTTGGGCGCCTGTCGCGCGGGATCTCGGGTTGGACCATCGCGACCGGCCTGCGGACCGGTTCGTGACAGTCGAGACCGCAGCGAGCGCTACCAGGAACCGCTATGCGCTGGCCAAGCATGTGAACCCGCAGTTCAACGCCTCTATGCTTCAGCAGCAGTTCGAGTATGGGACGACCGCGCTCTATCTGCTCACGCTCTGGGATGATGATCAGAATGCTGCGCCGAAGGCTTGGGTGAAGGCTTTGATGGGTAAGCAAGCAGTCTTGCAGGCTTACTCGGATGTTGTCAGAGAAATTTCGGGTACTGATACATTACAGGGGAGGATCGCATTCCGTTTCAAGAAGGATTTACGAGACCGAAAGTGGTGAAGACTAGTGAGCGGATCCAGAACATGACCGTTGCAGTACGAGCAGCAGCGGGGGCGGGATCATGAGAGTCTAGATGTACTGGGTGTTTATAAATCGAAATATAAGATGCAATTGCAAGATTTACTTTGAAGCATTGTGATAGGAGTTCTGGGCGAGGTTTATCATCCCTCTGTGTTGAACTGCTATGGTGGATTCGATGAGCACAACGCCTGCACAGGAACAGCAATCATTCTAAACATATTATATGGTATTGCAGCGCTCTCACGAATGGCAACAACTGGCTGTAGTAAACTATCTTTCAACCGCAAATCGCCAAGTATATCATCTTGTCGAGCGCGTCCCCCGTTCGGATAGTATACTCAGGTAGGCTGGACTATGAGAAAGAAATCATTACACAATCTTGAAGTCTCTCCAACCTATTACAAAGTCACTGACAGTACACTCTCCCCATCCAGACAACCACCAACGCGTACCCCTACACCTTCATCGACCACGGCGGGGATATCGTCGCCTGCGCCACGGAAGGGTATCTCGACACCACCGGGTATATTACATACAGTCATCGGGCTTGGAGTGATGGGCTGATCTATGAATGCAGATAAGCATTGATGGACCCAATCCACTATCTGGTACTAAGTTTTAGCGGCGGGACATCAGCTTTCTGAGTTCAGGTGAGATTACTTACAGTAGCTTTCCAAGTTTGACCCGCTTATGTGTTGATCTTTTACTGTATAGTACAATGGACTCGTCAACAACCGAAAGATTGCCGACCGGGTGGCTGTGGCTGGCTAAAAGATTTTCAATCAGTTACTATACGTTACAATATATCAGGCGCAAACATTGATTATTATCGGCTAGCCTTGAGCCACGACCTATGCAGAAAACATAACAAGCATTGCTTCTGCCATCCTAATTATGATGGAGCGTCATTTGTACACGGTATGTCAAGGATTCAAGAAACTTATAATATAAACCATGGCTGAATATAAGATCTTTATTGAGTTGTGTGATACAGCCGAGGGTACAGTGTGGCAAAGGCCTCCAAAACATACCATCAGATAGCTCTTTATACAATATCTCACATTAGGATTCCATGATACTAATCTCTTAACTGCTCTATAATATCCACTATCGTCTTTATTTGAAAAAGTCGACACAACAGGACCGTCATATAAGACCTACTTGACGACACACTTATCCAGATTTACAATTGGATGAACGAGGTGTGGGATTTTAGCGAGTTTTCCAGCTTCTTGGACACATGCAACCTCCGATGAGAATCTTGGAGATTGGAGCAGGCACTGGGGGTTTGACGGCCAGGGTTCTGGACCAGTTCCGCTCGGTGTATGGCGAGAGGTTGTTATTCCCAAGACACCTTCACCGACATCTGCTGCGTAGCAAAGGCTCGTTTCGACGAATACGAGGCCATAGAGTACAAAGTGCTGGATATTCTCCTCAACCCGCTGCAGCCAGGCTTTCCGCCGAGGAGTACGATCTCATCAATGCTTCTAGTGTGACTCCCAGTCCATGTGCGATTACTCCCATCTGTATAGATTTTGCATTCCAATTTCTTTCCGGGATGACACTCTTCGTCATGTAAGAGGCCTACTGAAACCCGGAGGTCGGCTTATTTTGCAGGAGCTCTCACCAGGTAAATTCTTCCATGTATCACATTTCCACGCGCTGTTTGCAGTGCCCACAGTCGATTAGTGCTTAACAGCATTTCATATGTCATGGTGGTGGACCACTTTGCTGAAAACTGTGTGGTGAATAACACCTCTATTGTAAAAGGCGCAGATATAATACTCGAACTATATATATATAAGCTAGTATTCAGTTTACTTAGCTTTATCTTTTGGCTACTGGCTGACACTCCTAAGTATATCTGTATAGGTCTTAGAACTAGTAGCTGGTGAATGTCGCCATATTTCAGACGGCTTTCCAAAGATGAGAGGCTCTTCCAACAACAAGGGTTTACAACTAATCCTGAAACTACTAATATTGATCTGAAAAGAGAAAGAAAGGTGGGGTTGAGAAAGTTTCACTCTGCTATTACTTGAGCCTCATGGTTTATTTCTTATTTGATGTAGATCACGTTTTTATTACAGCCTTCCCTAATAACATGATCTGGAATAGACAGATCGTGAGCAGGAGCAGAATTCATATAAAGATAATGTTCTGTTTTTTTTTTCCTTTTTGCTCAGAACAATTATTACTTCTCTGCACTGCCTGTCAGGCTCAACGATCTGTGCTTTGATCAACTAACTTACGGCACTATCGTCGTCTCTTACAGGGAAGGCAGAGATGCTAAAAGCATTGTGCAGTTTTGATTCTATCAAACAGTATTGGGATCAATTCTATGACAAGTATAAAGATTATCACATTTTCCAAGACCTCTTCTCAATCTTATTCCAGTGGTATAAGATGACTTCTAGGGTTCTGAATTGTCTTGCGTCATGATGCCTTGCCCGTTGGTGTGATCCAACCCTCACTCTCAGTCCTGCCAGTTTAACCCTCGTTGCACCCTCGCCGGTATTCTTCACCCCGTACTGCCATTCTCAAGTCACATAGACATATGTCTAGTGATCCCTGAGCAACAGACACAAACAGGATAGGCCTTGCCGGACCCTCTTAAGAGGTACAAGCACCATCGACGCACTGAAGCCCTCCATCGGCCGGAACGGGGCAATTCTTCAGCCTCGTCCACAGGCCGTACGACTCGCCGCCATTCCCATCAACCTCGGCAACGAGGTATTCCTCGCATTCCATCTGCACGAGAAACAGTTCCAGTTAGCTATTCATGATGTCCCCTTTGCTAGCAGTAGAGAGCGGCGGTAACCCCTCCACAAGAGTCTCGTACCAGATACCCTTCATCACACTCGCACACCTTGGCTCCCCAATCATAGCAGTAAGTGTCGGACTTGTAGCAGGCGGCTCGAGCCTGGATCACGAGAAGGCCAAAGGCACAGAGGGCGAAAATGGGCTTCATGTTCGATGGGACGGTTCTAGGAGAGAGGCAACCGTGACTGGAGAGATCGAAAATAGGGATTAGGCTTGCTGTGTTATCTCGAAGGATTGATAGGGATGAACAGGGATAATGAAACACATACTACAGCTGGTGCTTCGCTGTACATTTTATATCTTCTCAAGACCGACACCGGTTATCCGTTTTCCCGGAGGATCATTCTTCGATGTGAACCTCGGCTGTTCTGAATGCCCTTCAGCTCCGCGTTGATAGTGAGGCAATCCATGAAGTTGACTTTTCGCATGAATCTGCTACTATGCTATGGATTTCAGTATCGTGCTACAAGGTCGGATGATGAGAGATCCACATGGCTGAAAAACTTGGTTCGCGTGGTCGGACTAGCGTGGGGGCCAAAGCTTGACTGTTTAAGCTTTAGTGCACGGGGGAAAATCCCTGTCTTGTTTAGTCGCCGCATCCTTTTCGACGCTTCAGCTCACGTGGCACGACGAGCAAAGCCTGAACTAGTCTTCATGAAGTAGGAGATCCATTTGTAAATCTTAAGCTTGCCCTAATCGGCGATTTCGATCCTTCTTCCCTGGTGGTGGCAATAACCTAGCATTCTTCATCGAGTATCTGTTCCCATGAGCATGGACCTTGATCGTTTACTATGTACGCTCATAGGGATGCCCTGGACTTTGTGCAGTACCTTTATCTCCCTTATCAATTCGATTTTCCCACCAATCATATCAATGTAACAAACACCAAGTGTTATTGCGGCCGGAGTCCGAGTTGCCGAACCCGAAGTGTCGACGCAGGGGGCGAAGTTTAATATACTATGAAAAGACGTCTTTGTACTTTACTACAGTCTTATATTTTCTAACCCCTTTCGAGCGCAAGGGCCTGGGGGTTGTAATATTTGTATACTTTTACCGCCTACCATAAGAACTGTCCTGTGATTGACAAATTATTCGGTAATTATGCCGAGTTTGCTACTTATTCTAGTCTATAAGTTTCTACCAGACTATAGTATATGTTATTGCCGTTATGACAGTATACTGTCTTGCCATGGAATGTTTTTATCTCGTCTGTTTCTGGGATAGGTCTAGCATGTTTCAAATTGGGGTTCCTAAAGTATTCAAATCGAGTAAGTGGTCATTCCAGTTTCCGCAAGAAACTGTATAACTTGCCCAAATATCACATTAGCTTAATTACAGCACTCTACAATCAGCTCTGAAGGAATATTTAGTGTATTTCATAATCGTACTCCTCATGATCAACTAATTAACTTTATTATTCATAATATTACTTCATAAGAAACATATTATTTACATAGTAGTATATCTATAGTCAATATCCTGATATTCTTCTTGTATATTCTAAGGATTTGATACTCTTTTTCCTTTTTCTATATTACACCACAACACTAGATAACGGTAAATCCGACGCCGAAAACGGCTACTTTTGACGCTGGTTTAAGAATCCTTTTTACCCAAATCTTAGTCATCTGGTTTTCACGGGATCTGTTTCTGCCCACCATTTCCGTGTGCACCCTGAGCGCTCACGGTGGCTCAGGTTTGCTCAGGGATCAGTGTAAGATATTAGTGTCACGTGACCTCGGACCTCTGCACACCTCGCGGGCAACCGAGTATCCTAAGAAATAATAACACCATTAAGCAAAATATCTGTCACAATCAGCTCACCCTTGACTCAGGATGCTCAGGGTAGCAAGTCAGAGATGTCGTCATGTCTAGTGATTAATGTTATCTGATTGTAGCCGTCAATTGCAAAAATAGGAAAGGTCCTTCTGTCAGACTCTTGGCCATACTCCAAGTCCTCTCTTTCAACAGTTCAAGAGGCTGCCCCCATCAGCCGTAGCTCCTGTTCACTGCTCTCCCTGTTGCTTTAAAGACAAAAGGCCGTCTATTTCTATATTATTCACGGGGCTTTCTCTGGGCTTCAGTCTTTACCGCCTCTTTTTTTGTTCGTTTCATTCTTTCGCATCAGTTTTGCCCCCCTCTTGCTCTGCTGCTCTCCTCCGCTCGGAAAAACCGCTATTCGGTGCCATGTCTATTCCTGATTTATTCACGAGAGGCGAAAACCAACTTATAGGGCTGAATACTATCGCCGACGCCGTCGGCAACTGGAGAAAGGCATCATACAGAAGCGACATGCCGTTTCCACCAAGAACAACATAGATCAAATTAAGGGACGTTGGATGAGGTACTACGTAAAGCCAGGATTTAAATCGAGAAAAAGACTGATATAGACAGGTTCTGCGATCATTTAGGGGAAGATCCACTCCGGTTTCTTGCTGCAGCTTGAAAAGAAGATGTTATGCTGTTCCTGGAGTGGACACTTGACAATTCTAAAATCAGAAAATTCAGCAGCTTACACATAAATTGGAGACAATGGTGTCAGCTCTACCCTAAAGCGGTTGGACGAAGTCTTCATGCGAAATGCTCACAAGACATCAATAGTATATGAAACAGAACCTGACCGTACGGTATAATCTCTATATGGGCGTTGGGGAGAAACCGGTCATGAATGTCGATGATTTGTATATCGTTCTTCACCATCATTGGACAAAAGACACCACACCCTATCCTGATGGCCGACAGCTAATTCAACTTGCGTTTCTCTTGCTGGTGTCAGCTTATACTGGCAGTCGACCTGGCGCGTTGGTTTACGTTGAGCAAAATGGGCGAACTAATATGCAACACTTTTTCGGCCGTGAAGAAGAGAATGAAGAAATTGAAGAAGAATGGGACCTTAGAGAAGATGACCTGAAAACCCTCTGCTACGGCCAGATCAGCTTGATTCTGCTTCCAACCCCAGGAGGCATCCGTGACCACCTTGTGATGGGAATTGATTTGAAGCATATTAAGGGCCATCACAGCAAACCAAAGAGGTCGGTCATTGAAATTTACCTCCTAATATACAGGCTAACACTCGTAAAGAAAACTCTTTTTGATGTCCGAACTTAAGTTAAACAACCCGTCTTCGACATCATTATTTTTGTGCTTACAATGGCAATCCTCAACAATGCTTTCGCGGCGGATATTCATTCTGTCGAGGATATATTTAGGGCACGAGTTTGCCTACCCCGTCGTTCCCTCATATTGAAGTTCAAGAAAGACAAACTCAATGTGCCAATTTGTCGCCAACCAGTGTCTCTACTTGTTCTGAAATGACTACTCACCCAATGAAGCCCCTGATGTACCACACGTATCTGTATTACTTACAGCGGCTGAGGTTGGCTGTTGGGATGATTCGGGCAATGAAGCCCTACGACTTTCCCACGTGCTTTCCACATATCGAGTCCTGTTATCTGCCTATTGGGACGCCTACAATAAACCGTACGATCACCGATACAGTTTCCCGGGCTGTGAGGTTGCTGGCCTCACTCCCTATTCGATTGTTACTAACGTTAAGTATGTTTCCTTGTTGCAAGTATATGTTGCCTATCCGACCGTTCTGGTACGTCAACAATGCTGAAGGTGATCCGTGTTTCCCAGATCTGTGTAGTAAATCTTGGTTATAGGTCAGGAAATGGGTTAACATGGCTTCTGATCAATGAGTTTCAATAGCAGAGAATGGGAGAACGTAAGTGATTAAAGGGAGCCTGTGATGTTCATGCAGACATGAAAAACTGACGGTCCAGCAAGGAGCAGAGTGAGCACCAAGTTGGCTGGAGAAGATGGATCCGCATCAAGAGGCGCATTGTACAGAATTCTGCACATTCTGCATACTATGGGGCCAACACACGAATATACTATCAGATGTGACGGGGGACACTGATTCTCTCCAATTCCGTGACTTGATCGCACACCCTAAAGAAATCGATGGCGCATAGGCATCCATCCCGCCGCCACCAGAGGCCGCTGGCAGAAGTGGCATATTGCATGATACCGCCAGCGCGAACCATTTTCCCGCCAATGCTGCCATTTCTTGCCCTGAAAGCTTTCCGATGCCCCCCCTTTATGCGGATTCGGATTATTCCAAAATTGATTTGGGTGCTGAACCACACGATGATCATTCTTGGACGAACAACACTCTTCTACAATCGTTATCTACAGATCAGCCATCAGAAAAGCCGCGGAAAACTCTTCCCTGAGGCACACAGAAGACCAAAGGCTGGACACACCGGGCTCCAGAGCCCTTGGTCCCTTTCAGCACCACCGGCGTGCGGCATCTCGAGCAGCTTCTACAGCGAGTGGGGAGAGCGCCACCAGTGCCTCCTCCCGACACTCCAACCAAACCAATCGGTCGTCTTTGTCCAATAGCAGCCAGACTGTCGGAGATAAGAAGTCCTCCGGAAATCGGAAACGGCGGAACGATGCAAAGAGAGAAAAACGCAGCTCGGCTCATAATCCACGCATATTTTGCTGCACCTTTTGGATAAATTCAAGAGCAAATATGACTGGATGCGACACGAAAAGTCCCTCCACTTGAACCTAGAGAGTTGGACATGCGCTCCGTTCGGTGGTGCTGTAGTATTGCCGTCCACTGGTCGTACTCATTGCGCTTATTGCAACCAGCTTGACCCGACACCCGAGCACCTGGCGAATCACAACCACGGGCTTTGTCAGTACCAAAATAAGTCCACCTTTCGAAGAAAAGACCATTTACTCCAGCATATACGGCTTTTTCATCGTCTTGACACCATACCACTGCTTGACGACTGGGAACATTCCATCACAGAGTTTCCATCCCGATGTAGTTTCTGTAGCCAGAGAATGTCGACGTGGAACGAACGAGCCGACCATCTTGCATCCCACTTCCGCAAAGGCTGTACCATGGGCCAGTGGAAAGGCGATCACGAGTTTCCACCCGAGATCGCTGCCCAAGTCACCAATAGTGTGCCGCCATATCTACTGGATTTCGAATCGCGGACGGACTTTCGTGCCTTTTTCTGCCACAAACAGAGCGGTGGATGACCATCTCTCTCAGATGCTCTCCAGGGCCAATTTCGAGTATGAATCAGACAGAGCCGAGATGCCTCCTGAATTTGAGTTCTTGGGAGAGGAAGCTTCTCCCAGACAAGAACAACCAGCGCTCGAAGAAGAACCTAGACTCGACTCCTATGCTGAGGTTCTCACTCGTCACTTGAGCCATTATGCACAACTGATGATGAGCAAGGGGATTATACCCACCGACGAAATGTTTCAGTCAGAGGCTAGGCGTCTGTTGTTTGATTCCGAGGATCAATGGAACCAGACCATGGCGGACAATCCTGAATGGCTAGCTCAGTTTCAAGAGGAACAGAATAGTCGGACTTTTCTTGAATCTCCTCAAGAAACACGCAAGATTGGGTAAAGAATTGTATCTTATCAGAATAGGCAACAGATAAACATCAATACAAGACAATTCCACTTGCCGGTTTCTGCCCCTTTCCAATGTACAATTATACTGCCAACTTGCCATACTTGATGAAAGCAAAAAGTATGAAAGCCAATGCTAATGCAAGGAATCCTACTAATGAGCCAGCCCAGTGGACTTCAAGCTTAGTTAGTGTACATTGGAGTTGCTGCAAATGGGTAAAACGACAGCCAGGATCGCTCTTGTAGAGGTAGCCGCTGACTGTGCAGATGCAGAGTGACTCTTTATACGCATCAGTCAGGTAGATGTTCAGCATTGCAGTAAAAGCCAGCATGTAACCATATACATCTTTGAAACAAAACGATCGAAAAGACCAACTAGACAGGGCCAGTTGAAATTTATGCCCTGAAATTAGACGATGGATGAGTCTACTATATACTGCGCATACAACCATGCAGACGAGATAATACGCCCTAGGTACGGAGTAAAGTGGGTACAGGTACGTACCCGTGACTAGTAGACTGCACGCCCTGCGTCGACCCACTCACAAGGGAGCCTGTATACAATTCGGGGCCGGGGGTAGTTGCGCGGGTGGCCGGGGCTTCCGGTACGGTTATCCGGTCGGCTCCGTGCAAATATGCCGTGATTGGCTGAAGGGAGCTTAGTGCGAGCGGGGAATCGGAATCGGATTTCCTAGCGAGGTCTTCACCAGTGACTCACCTCCGCGTTCACCAGTTGTTTTTGGCCATGATCTTAAGAGTATGATAGGGTTGAAAGCAGGAAAGTAGCCGATTGATCGGCTATATAGCAGACGCGCGAACTTAGCCAGCTTTCTTGAGACTTTGTCTTATTACTCTTCTCTCTGGTCGTTTGGTTCGACATCGGTGCGGTCAGTAGAGGTTCTCGCTTCAATACCTCGCGAGAGTAACCAAGGGCTCAGATACTCCATCTGCAAGTAGTTGCCGAATTGTGATTTATCCTACCGAGATCGCCAATATCTCAAACTATTCTGGAGCGCCAAAGATGCTGGAGGATCTGGATCTTGAACGGCTCACCAACCATCTCGAAGCCGTGGCACAAGAAGATGGTACATACTGTACCAAAACGCTTTCCAGGCTGTGTGCAAGCAAGTAGAGATCCGTAAGCATTTTCTAACAAAAACAGGGTGTTCTCCGCACCGTGGCACGGCTCGACTCCAGAGCCCTTCGAGCCGAACAGGCATACGCGAAGCTTGAACAAGAGGTCCGGTCTCTGCAAGAGAGTCTCAGGCAATCCAAAGTGGACTATGATCACGTTGAGGCAGTCGAGGCACCAATTGATGCTGATCCTGTAAGTTCGCGGGGCAACACATACCATAGAATCAGATACTGCTGCAACGTATCACCTATACTTGAAACGAATCATCCTTACGCGGCTCAAATTTATACTTGATCTTTTCTCCTTATTTCATTTTGACCCAAAGTTTACCATGGAAGCCAATATCTCGGCTAACCTTAGAATGCATGACAGTATTTCGATACAGGGCAGCTCGACAGAGCCCTCTTCTTTGCTCAGAAACTCTACTTAGTCCAGTCAATGCAGCCTACTAGTGATATTCTTTTGACTACCCAATCAGATGGTCATCTTGATTTGTCTCACGTGGAGGACGACAAACTGCTTATGACCGTGATCGAGGCCGTCGCTCGGCCGCCCCTTCTCCAGAGCCGCGCACGCTTACAGCAGAGACAACGGCGAGCTAACCGTATTCCCTACTGTACCTATGCTCTTATGAACAGAGTTGGCAGAACAATTATGAGCCTATCACTGCTGACTCGAATCAGTCACAGCATGTCGGTGTGATGACCCGTGAGGACGTTCATGACATGCGGCTCACCCACCTCGTCATGTACATGCAATGACAAATGATTCAGTTCAATGCAGAACTCACCGGAAGAGTCCTGTGACTTCAGGCAATCCTGTCAAGCCCCGCATCATGATCCGACTGCCACTCTGTCATGGTTGGAGCCTTGCCGGACCGAGTGGGTGAAAGGAGGTCAAATGGTTCGAGGACCAGGAATCAGCCGTCGGTCAATGAGCCAGAGGCAAGGATGTGGTCGCCTAGAATGGCTGAGTCGGCTTCGTCCAAAGTCAATTGATGGCTCGCGTTGTCTTTGTTCTCCTCCGTAATTGTTCCCCACATTGTTCCCGTTACTGTCGGCTATTGTGCTGCATAGTCAGCACTGACTCAGCTGTTCGAGCCCTACAAACATACCCTCTGCTGCCCTGACGCGCATCCGGACTCGGGTCCCAGGACTCATGATTGGAATGCAATGCGTCTCTTTCTGAGCGTGTGAGACTACGTGTCAGCGGTGAGCATAGCCTCTGATGTATACATACCCTTGAATCTTTCCTGCATTCGTGGAGGAACACTACTAAGTTCTTTCGTGCAGAGATATGATATCTTTGCTGTACTATGAACCACACTCGTATTCGCCTTTGATAACTTACTTCAGCGCAATGACCAATTCTTTGTGCCATCGTGTCCATCCCTGCTTATGGCCACTGCATTGAACAGCAAGCACCATACAGTACAGTTTGCTTCTCATATAATGTGCCCCCTCCTTCCAACCCTCATCACTCCCACCAGACTGCGCAACCAATCGCAACCACTATCCGAAATACTCTCTCTGAAGCAACCATGTCCTCCTCCAAGCGCAGCATTCTCAAAACCGGCTGCTCCGACGGCAGCCTCGGCTCCGGGCTCGCCCGCGAATGCCACCGGTCCGGCTGGCGCGTCTTGGCCACCGCGCGCAACCCGGCGAAGCTCCAAGAGGCCGCAAAAAAGCCGGCATAGAGACCATCCTCCTCGACACGCTATGCGACTCCTCCATCGGCGCCTGCGTCGCACGCGTCAGAGAGCTCACCAGCTCTGACCTCAAGACCGGCGCCCTGGACGCACTCCTCAACACCGCGGGCGGCGGCTGCTCCATGCCCGTGACGGACATCGACATTCCCCACCGCGCGCTCTCTCTTCGATCGCTCATCAGCGTCACGCAGGCCTTCCTCCCCCACCTGATGAACTCCACCCACCCCGACGGCGGTGCGTTGTTGGTCATGCACCCCTCCATCTCGGGCACCATCGCAGTGCTCGGCCCGTTCGCCGGCGCATACAACGCCTCGAAAGCCGCGGCGTCCAGTTTCATGAAACCCTGCGGCGGAAGCTCGAGTCGTTTGGTATCTGGGTGGTGAATCTGGTGACCGGGGCCGTGCAGTCCGCCTTCCATGATAAGGCGCCGCATCCGACGCTGCCGGCTTCTTCGCTGTATAACGTTGCGAAGGAGACGGTCGAGCGCGCGATGACGAATCCTGATTCCGAGAGTGATACGGACGCCAACGTGTGGGCCAGCCAGGTGGTGCGGGATTTGAGTCGAAGGCGTCCGGCGTGTTGGGTTTGGAGAGGGAAGTGGGCGATGATGGCGTGGGTGGCGGGGTTTCTGCCGGTGGGGACCTTTGATGGGACGATGAAGCGCTGGGTGGGTTGGATTTGGTGGCGAGGAGGTGGGGGGAGAAAAAGGGGCAGGGGGTGTAGGGATGGGAGGTGGTGTTTAGTAGAAGGACGGGCGTGGGGTGAGTTGTATGGGGCATTTGGTGGATGGAGCTGGGAGTTGAAGGAGTCAGGGTTTGAGGAGTTGTTGTGAAATGTGAAGGTAAATCTGGGGGGTTCTATTGCACGGGTGTGGAACATGAACGATCTATTTTCCTTTCTGCTTTCTCCTGCTTCTGTATCGTCCTGGTTCAAGTTATTGCCTCTTTGTTTTGTGGTGTTTCAGTGGCTGAATTCATGTCTCGGAGTTGCGATAGACCACTATTAATCCTGGGTCTCTAGTGTCCTGTAAACACCGTTCTCGAGAACATTGTCAGATTATCAAGATAATTACCTTTATGGGGTAGTATCACACGCTGTCTTTTAATGCAATCTATCGTCTTATACATACGGTGTAGTATGATTTCGGACATGACACCGGAATCTCGTCACATTGCAGCCCCCAGTTGACCAGACAAAGCACGAAATATCTATGTCTTATTCTTCTGAGAAGACATCTGTAATGACGATATAGGGATGACGGAAGACTCTCTCGAATCCAGCTCAAAGAACCCATCCAAAAACCCTTTTTGTTCATCGCCCATAACGGAATATCAATCTTTTCTGTTGTTGTCAACGTCAGCTACTGTGAAGGTATCTCCGGCAGTGGGTTCTCCTGACGTTCGATGTCAACATCGAATGGCTTATATCTGAGCTAGCTCAAAGTGGCAAGGTTGCTGATCGATCAATGTAGTTAGTATGAGCTCCCAAATTGTAAGTAACAGACTGATCTCCTACACCACAACCCTTGAAACACATTACATGGGGTGTTTCTCCCAGCGAGGCAACGGCTGCTACAGACTGGCTGCTGGGTACTGTCACAGTACCAGCTGCAAACCCCTTCGTAGCACTTTAGCTCTACGTCTCGTTCATCAGGCTGTATAGCTTGACCTGCATCCGAGAATCAAAACCTGAATCAGCCAGCCCAACCCCTGTATATCCACCAAGGTGTCTATTCCTGATATTGTATCCTGAGGGGTCCCCATACCCACCCCAGCTGTGCACCGCCCTGGACTGAGTCGCTGAGACTTTCCTTTTCGGTTCCTCCAGAATATAGAGTCCAGGGGTAGTAGGGTAGGAAGGGACGAGACTCCTTCATGAACACTCTAGGTCAGGGTAGTAATGACTCTCACTCATATTTACCGGGTAGAGGCTAGAAAAGAACGACAAGTTCGACAAAAGCCCGCTTGGGCAGATATTGCAACAGGAGCTGGGATGGATACTAGTGCTGTCGGTTGGGCGGGAATCACGTCAGGAACTGGACCCATGCAGCTGGTGCCTATAGCGAGTTCCGGAAGCCTACCACGAAATCATCGATGCAAGGGTTGCATTAGCTTTGGTTTTTTTTTCTGATGGGAAGGAATGCCCTTGGAAACGACCTGATGCTGTGACATGCGAGATAGTTAACTTAAGTTAGAAGAACAATTATGTCATCTTATGCATTTGCAACGTTACTAAGCTATTAGTCATGTCCGGAGGAGAGATGACGTGCCATGTGGGAGATGTGGGACAAGAATGTGGAGAGACGAAGGATTCGTGGAGAGGGACAAGACAAGCTGAATGAGTGATGCTGCTGATGGCTCAATAATTTGAAATCATTGTTTCATTGCTCACAGATCTGGATATGCTGTACATACTCATCCTAATTGATATGTCGGTCCTTATGAAAGAGGCAGCCATGTTGTCACATCGATACGGTGTCTGTAATACATCCAAAGATGTGGCTGAAGGGATTGGTTATGAACTTAGTAGTGACTAGATGCTCAACGAGCGATCATATACAGACTCGAATGAAAGGGAAAGGCAATGATCAGGTATTCTTATTGTCTATCTAACACCATACTATCGACCACCTAGGTAGTGACATTCCGGCCAACCGAATGGAAACACGAGCCAGCCTGTTAGCTGAGGCGTAACGACCAGCTCATGCTAATTTTAGTTACGCCCACGAACTGGCATGTCAGGGTCAGGCACATACCCAATAAAATTACCATCTCCAGTTCCAAGGTGCTAGTGGGCCATCGTCAGCCCTGCAGTTCCTACGGGGATACTATACATCCTACCACCAATCGCTGCTACTACAGCTACCCCAGATCTGCGAATCCTTCCACTTACTAGTCAATCACAAACACACCAATCCAGACAATAAAATCAATTCTAGGTATCATCTATAATGCACATGTACCGCTAAACAGCCGCAGGACAGCCCAAGCCAACAGCATCTACTTGCCAAAGACCTTGAAGCGCTCCTCCAGGGGCAAGAAGGTCTTCTCGCCCGCCTGAGCCGTAGGAGTACCGAAGACCAGCTGAGCATCGAGCTTCCAGTTCGCAGGGAGGTTCCACTGCTTGGCGATCTGCTCGTCAATCAGGGGGCTGTAGTGCTGGAGATTGGCGCCGAAGCCCTCCGATTCCAGGGCGGTCCAGACTTTCCGGGAAATTAGCAGATATTTTTGAGAATAGTGCAGGAAGAGAGCATACCAAGGTACTGGGCCATGGCGTTGGACTCAAGAGCCCAGGGGTTGAAGTTGTCAGCGTAGATGGCGAACTTCTCCTTGATAGGGTCCAGGGCGTCGTAGTCGACGAAGAAGAGAACCTACAGGGTTAGTGTTAGTTTGGATGGCTTTTTACTCTCCCGGGAAAGTAAAGGAGGGCTTACAGTTCCGTAGCTGTTGCGGAAAGCGTTCAGCTTCGGCTTGGTCTGGTTCTCAAAGGTCTCCTTGGGGACCTTGCCGGCGGCAACCAGACCCTCGAGGGCGCTGATGGCAAGATCCCACAGCTTCTGGTGCTCCTCCTTCAGCAGCAGCACGACACGGCCGGTCTGGGTGTTGAAGGAGCTGGGGGTGTGGAGGACGGCCTGCTGGACGAGGTGCTCGATGGACTCGTCGGAGATGGGGCTCTCGGCCTTGAGGGTGTAGATGGAGCGACGGGCCTTGGCCGCCTCCAGGAGGGCGGTGGTGGCAGGGTTCTTGAACTGAACAGACATGGTGGATGGGCTGTGATGGGAGTGAAGGGGTGAAGATGGCGATGGAGACCGAATCGAAGGACGACTCCACAATTATATAACCGCTCAACCTATCGCCCGCCACCACATCTTCTGCCGCCATTCCAGGCGAGAATTGTGTGCATATCCGGAAAGCCGCTCCTGATCCCACACCAGCCCCACCTTATTCAGCGCTCAGCAAATCGCGGAATTCCTCCACGCTGGAATCTGTGCTTGTCGCTGATTGGCAGGTTGCTTAGCGGAACCTTCCAGACATCCGATCTTCCCACATGCAGACCGCAGAGTTGTTGTCTGATGCTGGTCAGGGGTACTGCCCGAGGCATTTCTCCCGATAGCCAGTAAAACCCGGTCGGACTCGGGAAGCATTTATTCCCGCTTACCAGTCTTGCAGCTTCACTTTCATTGCACCTGGAATTAGTCAGCTTCCCAATCATTTCTACATGATAAGAAAATACCTCAATCATGGCGCCACAAGGGTCTGAGGTGCATATCCTACTATTGGATTGGGCTGTGAGCCGACGAGAGTCGGACAGTGTTAACGCCGAGTGCGAGGGCAGCGACGTTAAGCGATCATCACGAAAGGTTCTGCAGCAACCACCACACAGTATAGACTAAGTACAAATTTCCCGACCAGTAACCACTCGCACCGGATATGCGATCCATTGATGCAACTCAAGCGGCAACAACGAGTGCACCCCGAGCACAACATGCTCGTCCCACCCCCTCATCAGCCATGACGACCGCATGTAGCGGAGGATGATGCTCCAATGAGCATATACCACCAGGGCATAGGGGTCCCTCGCCTCCAAGATCGCAATCATCTCATCCTGCATTCGATACACCCATCCCATGGCCAGATGCATCAAACTGATTCCGTCCTTGCCCGCACTGCGCACCGCATATGCCTCCCTGAGAATGGACTTCAAGTCCTGAATGGAACTCTCATACACTGTCCAGACAGCTGCATCAGCTACCTGCAGCTTGATCCACGTTTCCATCGCCCCAATGTGCGACAAATGCTCGTCCAATTCCGCCTGCAGGGCCGGACTGACACCCTTGATGCTATCATCCGGTACCGGAGTCAAAACCCCCGTGAAGATGCGCTCGTGATGATTCATGACGATAGACCGCACCCCGCGCAGCAAGACCAGCCACTGTGATTGCCCACTCTGGCTGAACACGAGATACTCCGCCGGGCGCGGCCCACGGCCAAAGTACGTCAGGCAGATCAATGCCGCCGCCTGGTAGATCAGTTGGCAATTCTCCGAGTTCAGCAGCGCCAGCACCGCTGTCACAGACCGCACTCCAAAGGTAAAGTGGGCGTCCGCCTGAGCGAAATATTCCAGCCTTGCGTCTGGGTTCTTCGAAGCTAGATGAAGCGCCGATAGCGAGAGGATAAGGTGCAAGATGGAGGGAAAGGCAATACCCCATTGTGGTAGATGATTGAGATAGATGCCATTTGCATCGGCAGCCTCATCGCTCAGGGTCTTATACGTGGTGGTCATGTAGTGGTGATACAGTCTGAGATCCGCGAACGAGATCCCGCCGGGTGGCTGGCTGGCGGCAAGGTCACATTGGACTCCGGTGGAAATTGCCCCTAAAGCCCGAGCTTCTGAGCCGGACCTGGACACTGCGGATGACTCCGTCTGCGTGTCTTGCTGATACTTGGATCGACGAAAGCGATACTGCCGGGCTGGGGCTCTCGGGGCAGACGCAGCAGCCGGGATGACAAAGTCGCAGTCGATGGCGTGGCGCGCACATGGGGTGCATACGGGTTTCTTCTCATCGCACTGGGAGTACTTAGCTCTACAACGCACTAGCAGCTTTTCAGGAATGAAGCAGGCGACCGAGCGCAAAATAGGAAGCACCATGCTGTAGACTGATTTCGTTGACACGACGAGGCGGCAGTGATAAGAGAGGAGAGTAACATACCTTCACGCGTCTTCGCTTGCAATTCTGGCATCCCAAGCGAGATTTATTATGGGAACGCCGAGCGCGTACTCGTGTTGAATCTGACTCCGCCATGACGAGGCATGCATGGAGTGGCGGATGTAGAAGTACTGGGGAGCAGGTCGTATTCGTTTCCTTTTGACCGAGTTGGGGAGAAGGATCTGGGTGTTGCCTCGGACAGCAGCACCAATCACGTGGTTAGGACAAATGCCTGCATTTCGGAGACCTTATCTTATCGAGCTCGGGGATCCGATCCGATCGCGGCTGTAGCTCGAGTAGACCAACCAATAAGGCTGCTGCCCGCGGGGATATCATCGCGGCAAGGTAGCAATATGCGCAACAATCGAGGGGTTGGTCGCCATATAATTAATGCTTCAATTCCCAGCCGTGCGCCTGTTCGCTTTCGTAGCTCAAAAATAAAAAAAAAAAAGCCCCCCCAGGAAGCACTCCCTACAGGGCCACTTGCCACTATGGGCAACAACATATCCTACCACACAAGTGAAACCAATCTCCCCATCACCAATACCAACCTCACCATCAAGGCCTGCAGAATGGCACGCAATCCCGACGCTTCACCGGCGTTCCATACGCCCAACCACTAGTCGGACCTCTCCGCTGGCGCAAACCGCAGCCCCTGCCACTCTCGCAACTAGGGACCAAATCTCCAACCTTTGACGCAACCGCCTTCGGTCCCGTCTGCCCTCAAGCCAGCTACTCCAAATCCGTGAGTGAACATGTCCCCGTGCACACCTACAGCGAAGACTGTCTCCGACTCAACATCTGGACGCCCGTGCCCGACCCCGCCAAACCAGACAAAAGGTACCCGGTGATGATCTGGTTCCACGGCGGCTGGTTTCAAGTCGGCGACCCCAGCCAAGAGTTCGGGATGGACCCGACCGAGCTCATCTCTACGGGAGGTCTGAACTGCGTCTTCGTCGCAGTGGGGTACCGTCTCAACATCTTCGGGTTCCTGGCCGGAGACGCCCTGCGTGAGGAGTCCGGCGGCCGCGAGGTAGGGAACTATGGCTTGTGGGATCAGCGACTGGCAATTGAGTGGGTGCACGAGAACATCGCGCACTTCGGAGGGGACCCAAACAATTTGATCCTATCCGGTCGAAGCGCGGGCGCGTATGCGGTACAGGCACAGGTGTTATTTGATTTCCGCGCGGCGCCCGACGTGATCGACGCCGGATCGCGCGAGCTCTTCCAGAAGCTGGTCATGTACTCCAATGCCATCCCAACGCAGCCGAAGTCCCCGGAGGATTGCCAAGTCCAGTTCGACGAGGTGTGCGCCTACTTCGGAATCGCGAAGGAAGCACCAAGCGAGGAGAAGCTGGAACAACTCCGCAAGATTGAAGCTAAGGCGCTATGCGACGCCATCATGAAGCTCGAGCATCACACTTTCCGAGCCGTCACGGACGGTGTCTTCTTCCAACCCGGCATCTCCGAGTATTTTCGAGATGGCTCGTTTGCGGCGGAATTCAAGCGAAGGGGTTTGCGCTTGTTCATCGGGGAGGTGCGCGACGAAAACACACTGTACGCGGTGACGAACAGTCCCGACCCCAACCGGGAGTCCTTCCGACTGCAGGTTGAGAACTATTACTCGCCAGCCACAACGGAGAGGCTGATGCGGCATTATGCATTGCCCTCGACCGACAAGAAGGAAGAATGGCAGGCGGTATTCGGGAACCTGATTGCGGATGGGCAGGTGCGGGCGCCGTCCCGGTTCTTGGTCAAGAATCTGCTCGACCATGGGGTCGGAATTAACGATGTCTGGCGGTATCTGATTGCGTATCGCTTGTCATTCATCACGGATCAGGTCGCCCCTGCATCGTTCGGGGTGAGTCATGCGATGGACAGGCCGATCTGGAAGTAAGTATCCCCGACAGCCTTCATTTAGTGGTAGGTCCTTATTGACAAATTCAGCTACTCCATAATGCATGGACCAACCCGCGAGGAAAGAGTTTTGCTGGAGACTTGGATCCGCAACTTAGCTGCCTTCGTAAACAACGAGGAAGGCTATTCGTATGGAACGCGTGTGGCGGACGAGTATAAGGTGATGACGGCGGATGGAAA